GTAGGGGAGAGGGGGGTAAGATGAGCCATATTTCTTATTTTGGATCACTACATCAGGGCAATCATAGTTTTGTCTCTAACTAGTGCATCTGCATATATTTCAAGATCTGCATCCCTGAAAACCAGTAGAATGAGTGTAAACATAACTGTCCTGATAATATAGCATGCCAAAAATAGTGGTCTTATATGGTTAACTTAGCCCATGTACCTCAGACTGTTTCCTTATTTATTCCTTAGTTTCCCCTAACATTGTCTTCTGCTCCTCTCTATCTTTAATCATCTGTTACCCCATACTGTTTTTCACAAAAAATCTAGCTCCATCACCCCCTTGTTCTCAGTTTTATCCTCATATTCACATATTCTCTCATTTATTCAGTTTTCACTTATACCCTTATTCACTTAATCATTTATTCCCTAATTAATTTCCTCAGCCCTTCTTTCATTCCCTTACTCTCTTGTTTACCCCTTTGTCTTCTCGTCCCCTCACTTTGGTGCAGTTATAACCCTTATTCTTCTACATTCCTCTATCATTCCCTTATCTGCTTATTCCTCGTTTTATTCCCTTATTACTTCATTCAGTCTTGCTCTTGTTTTCTCTTCCATTCACTAGGTCACTCAGTCCCTTGCTGTCTTATTCCCTGTTTTGGTCCCCTGTTCTCTTTTGGTTTCCTTGTTCCCTCAGTCTCTCATTCACTCCTTCTTTCCCTTGTACTCTCCTCCCTGCTTTGAAGTGAGATCAATTTTACTTGAACTTTAAACCATTTGCCACAAGGGGCGCCAACCACAGTTACAGACGGGAAATGGCATCACATTGAACAATATTTGCAGTATCATTTTCCCCCACTTGATGGCAGTATAGACCAAAAAACAAACAGTGACACTGAGCTGTATGAAATTTCACCTAGCAACAGAGCTGCTGCTTGTTCATTCACACACCTACATGGTTACACGTGATGCTCCTCCACGTTCACATGTACAAAAAACTCAATCACAAGTAGATACAAGTACACCAGCTTTGGTCAAATTTGGTATAGATTGATTATAACCACATAAATCTTTAACATTGGGTAAATATAACACACATACACAGAAAAACTGTTTTTTTTACATATGTGAAAAATGAGCAATGGAGTAAAAAAAGGCTTGATACAGGGGTTGATTACAGGCTGTGATGCTAAGAGAAGGGTGTGTCTCCAGGGCTATGTCATACAGCCACATAAAACACTTTTAGTCTGAATGAAAATACTTCAATTTGGTTTTTGGAGCACAGTCAGCATCCATGCAACAAGCTCTGATAGTGGAATTACTCCCACCACTTTTACACCTTAGTCTACCACTTTGTTTTTTCCTCCTCCTTTCCTTCTGTGTCCCCTTAGTCTCCTTCCCTCTCCCCATTCCAAACAAACACACAGATCCTGTTTATTTGTCCCATTGGAGAAAACAGTCCAGAGATCCTGGACGCTGTGCAACAGAACAAAAAAGCATTGCAAAAATCAATTGGCTCTGCAAGTCTCAAGACTGCCATGCAGGAAATTGGCTCTGAATGACGGCACTATGTGGACCATCTTTTTTTTCTCTTTCATAGTTCCTCTTCTCGAAAAAAAAAAATGAAAACAAACTTTGGTGAATTTGGATAGCACAACTTTTTGGCTCCTTTACTCTAAAATCAGTCAAGGGACTTTTGATTGGGGGCATGTGATTGGTTTGGTGGTGTTATCATATTTATTAGGGCAAACTTACACAAACCAAGCTTCTCTGGCTTTTGATAACACTAACCAGAATGGATGCAGTGTGTTGAATTGACCCATTTTTTGCACAAACACATCTAAACATCTTTTGATACATTTGGCTCCCTGACATGCTGAATTTCATCACAATAGCCAGATTTGGCAGGACCCTGGAAAGCCAAACTCTGTAGGAAACATACTAATTACCTCCAATCAATTAAGAGACCTAGTTTTCCGGCCTGCGTGTGTGCTGGTGGGTGACAGACATATAAACCACAGAGGCCAACTTCCCTCATACTTCCCAGGCTCTTTAATTAACTCTTTGATCTGAGTGCTACGTAGACTGCTGAGGCCACGGCACGCTATGGCAGGAAGAGGGGAAAATGCTGACATACTCCAGTTCGGATCAAATGAAAGTTACCTTTGATTCTATTTTTGTGAAGTGTCAATGAAAGACACATTTGAATGGTACCTACCTCCCACAAAGGTTGGAGTTATTCATGACCCCGGGTTATTTAAGCAACTGTTCAGCTTTGTGGATATATCTGCATGCTAAATATATGTGCTTATAGTAATGCTAAGACAGTGACTGGGTTCCTTGGATTATGTATTGAGGCACTGACTGTCAGATAGGTGTGTTGGGATTGGAGGTTGGAGGGAAGGGGGCAGTGGGTCTGGCAAGTTTTAAAAGGAGCAGTACGCTCACTTTGTTGGTTGGAATTTGCAGCACCATGGAACGACTTAATAACAATGCGTGAAGCAATGAAAATTACACAGTGCCTGCAAGAAAGGAAAAATTAATTGCTCTCAGGTTGCACTTGAGAAACTTTGGTCACTCAAGCACAGTGGTGCACACACACACACACACATACACACACTTGCAAATACACAAGCAGGAAAACAGTATAACACCCCAACCCACACTCACATATTGCACACAGACACACAGGTGCATGCAGAACTTTGGCTGCAAGCATAACCAGGGCCTATGGACTGGATGTGCAACCGTGTGTGTGTGTGTGTGTGTGTGTGTGTGTGTGTGTGTGTGTGTGTGTGTGTGTGTGTGTGTGTGTGTATAAACCTGTAGCTCCCCTGTGCTGTGCAGTGAAGAAAAGAATAGGGCCTGGGCCACATTCCAGCCCTGCCTCCCTAGGCGAGAGACAGTATTCAGCATTCCTCTGCCTGCCGATCAGGCCAGGTGCATTCCAGAACACACAAAACACACACACTTTTTTTTTTCAACAAAAACAACATTTCGTTCTGTGGTTTACATTTATTCCAAATTACAAATACATGTTCGGAGCTATGTGTGCAAGGTGCTCATACAGCACAGCTAAATGCACATCAAAGTGGTATATAACCTGATAAACATCCTAACCACAAAATCACTAATATTAATCTGCATAATACACAAAAACCTACTGTGCATATTTCCTGTTTGAATGCATGTGCTCCCTGTCTCACATGAATACACATAAGTTGAAAATGGCTCAATCTAGCATTGTCCGTGCATTGCTTCTGCTGTGCGCTTCTCGATGTTCACTGCCTCTTTAATTCAGCTATGATTCAGTCATTTCTAATGCATGGATTTTTTCAGTTTGGAAGAGGCTGAGCTATTTAAAGAGCAGGGGTTGAATACACTGTGGATGTACAGCCAGCCTCTTTTTGAAGTTCATACACTGCCGCTGTGATGCACTGTGAGTCACACATGACAGTGCAGACGGGGGTGGAGATACAGTGTGTATGGTGTGTGTGTGTGTGTGTGTGTGTGTGTGTGTGTGTCCATCCGGGTCTTTTTCTTTCATTTATTAGGAGATTTTCTGAGGTTTTTTCTTCCTTGACTTGACGAGAATCATAAAAACAATCCCGAGTAGTCTATATGTGAATAGACCCGGCATGCATAGAAGACATTGAGGTTTTGTAAGGGTAAGTTAAAAAAAGGTTACTAAGAGACAACTGCTGGAAAATTTGGATGGAGAGATAGATGGAACTATAAAAAAGGAGAAAATAGGACCTCTCATTGATGCCTGCATGCAAAGTCAGTTTCATGTGCAAGCTTGGGCAAATGTGAGGGCAAAACAACCCCGGAACAAAAGCTCCATTCAGAGTTAACGCACTGCTTCCCTTCCACACTCTTCCAGCATCAGACAGAGAAAAGGGTTGTTGGTTACATGCTATTTGACAGGCACGGGACTCCATGCTTGACAAGCCGTGAATCAGACCATTACTCTTTGGCATTCCTCCCTCACTGTTCCGCTTACTTCCCCTATTCTTACATTCCCCATCACTATCCTCATCCCCCTTTTTCTCCTTCCTTTGCTTGTCTCTCATCCTCTTCCCTCCCTCCCTTTCTTTCCCTTCACATCCCCGTTCATGTCTGCTGGCAGCTCTAGCCAATTCCCGCCCTTCTCCCACCCCCCACCCCTCCTCAGCCCACTTCTCATCCATTTCCATGTGGCGACTTTTCATCAGTGAAGTGCCTTCCTGGCCTGACCACCCCCAACCCACCTACTCCCTCCTCCTCCTCCGCCACATGCTGAATGGATGCAGCATTAAAGAGAGAGAGAGGGAGAGGGAGAGAGGGTTGAAACCATCCTTCCTTCCTCCTAAAAGCGCCACCCCTTTGGCTGTGGCAGCAGTGGTATGTTCCACAGTGAGGACTGCAGAAGTTGAGAGAGCACATTGTTTGTAATCTGGCATTGCAGGGGTCACTTCCTGACTCGTGTGTCCGCTCCCTGAGCTCAGCGCCGAACCCCCCCCGCCCCCCGTCTAACCCCCCTCCTCCTTGCTGTGTGTCCATCCATTTGGCCAAGTAGCCCAAGGCTTTTGGACAAACCCTGTTCTTCCCCTTTTGTGAAGGAAAGCTTCAACATCTGAAAACAATCAAATAATCTGGGCACAATGTGTCTCTTCATGGAGGGGTGCTGGTGGTTCCCAGATGAGCGGGAGGATTAAGTGGAGGAGGCCATAGGGGAGAGAAAGAGAGGGATGGGGGCTCCACAGCTGAGGGGGCTATGCAGCTATTGTTGCTAAATCTTCATAGCAAAATGTGTGTATGTGTGTGTGTAGGCAGGATGTCTTCAGGAGCTGGGATGACATCCGAACACCCTTCCAAAGAGTAATATGAGGAGTCATGTCTGACTCAGTGCTTTCACAGTCATTGATTCCTTCTCATTTGATGCAGATGGATTCGTTACAGTGGAAGCAACACAGTGAAAATTTATTGTTTTCTTTTTATCTGTTTGAAACACAAAAAGGCTTGTCTCCATGGAAATTCAAGTTCATGTTGTGGGACTGTTAATCTGAATGGGGAGTATAACTTGTTGCAAAAATATATCTTTAACAATAAAAATATGACCAATGAAATTTCAGATGCATGAATGAACGGGGTTGCTTTAGTCTGTAAGGTAAAGAAATTTAAATAGTAGATGGTTCGTTTATGTTGGCGTAGAACAAAGACAGTAAACCAGAAAAAATACCCGCTGTGTCTCAAGTGAATAAAGTTTTCCTTGCACACCTCTGAACATCACCACTTGTTTGACAAAAACTGAGAACAGTTTGTTTAACTCGCTGTCGCTCCCTAACTTCAGACCTTAGCTGTGTCCCATTTAAGGTAGTGTTCATTCAGCTGCTAGTTTAGATTCAGTCTAGGTTTTTGAATTGAAACGCCCTTTAACTTCCATCCTCATCTTCAATGATTTATAGTTTATCATTGTTATGAAATGTCTCTCAAAGTTGCTCTCTAATGTTTTTTCAAATCTCATTCAAAGAGGAACTTTGGTATTTCTCAACCTGGGCCCTATTTTCTAATGTATTTGTATGTGCTTCACTGATGGGGAGAAGACTTTCTGAAACTGGTCCAGTATTGCGATAAGAGTGGAGCAGCTTGCAGACACAAAATGAGCTAAAATACAGTTTGACTGGACAATTGTGCATCACCAAACTGCAGCCGTGACAAGTGCTTTATTTGAGTAACACTGCATAACAACCTCAAATGCTGCAGCAGAATGAGCTAACATAGCAAGGCAGTAACATAACCCACTACCTAAGTTTATATTGGAAGTTACACCTTTTCTTGATTTTGATTGGTCAGTGATGGAGAGGTAGCATTGACTAGCATGGTGGTGTTTGAAAAGTTGAACCACTTTCAACAGGATGCAGACTCTTGAAAACACTGAACCACTGGAGTTTTGCAGAGAATCTTTTCTATTCCTTTAAATTCTTTATAATAGAAAACACCACCCTGAGATTGATATAATCTGCATTTATTTCTCTTAAGCTCTCTTTCCTCAATTTAAGATCTAACAAATGCACACAAACAAGCATGCACGTGCTCACATATGCACATGCACACAAACTTTGTCTCCGGCGTCTCGCCTGCTGTTCCCTCTCATCCCCACGAGAATGGTAAATAGTCATCTGTAACTTCCCCTCCAACATATTCATTAATCCCTTCTATCCTGTGGGGCTGGATGATGATTACAGGGAAGCCAAGTGAAGCCGCCCAAATAAACACCCCTCAGGCAGCAACAAAGGCCTGTCCACCTCACCCTAAACACAGCTTCCCAAAGCTAGATCAGGTTTCAATCAAGCCCACGCACAACATGCAAACAATAGGAAGTAACAGAGTCTTAAGCGGTGAAAGACCGGGCTGTGGCAGAAACCAATTCAGTTCTCCATTTTTGTCGGTAAGATGTTAGTGATTGGTGCAAATTTACTATTAGTCTTAAGACTAATGGGTCTGAGTTTGAAAGAGCAAAATGAAGTTACAGACTCTGTTACCCTTTTGTACATGTAAAGCATACTGTAGTGAGGCTGTTAAATGATTATGATAAAGTATATCTAAAGTGCTACTTCAGTACTGTACACTTTACAGTGCCACAGCGTTAGTTTCTGTTCTTTATGAGCATTAGTGTAGAAGACAACACATTTCCCCTTTGAAACACACTCCTATGTTGGTTTCCCATGCTCACATACTTCAAATTCTACAGATTTGCAGAACTTATACTATGCCATAGATGTGTTTCTGTCAAGGGCTATGCAGCCATAATGACCTTCCATCTGAACCAACATCTTTGTGCACGGTCACAAGACTGACTCTCCAAGCTTGACACACATTACTCATCTAGTTATCCACATCCATCTCTCCTCTCAGACATTCCTGAAAAAAAAAATCTTGGTAAAGAAGAAACCTGTTTGTGCTGCTTAAATATCTGAGTATGATTTAGAAATATAACAAATGTTCTCAAGGTTTACACTGCTGCATATATACAGAGTAAGAAAGAGAGGCTGAGTAAGAAGGAGAGTACACAGCACATAGTCAAACATGCCTAAAGGCCCTCACACTTCCTTCCCCTCTAGCCGCTACACCTTTTTTGCTCACCACCCTGCAATTAGCGTGCCTAAAAGTTGCAGGCTTCCGAGGCCAGGCCCACACTAATCATAGGTATGCATTGTTGTGTTCAGCTGCCAGGTCTTTAAAAATCAGCACCTCTTGTGTAAGCCACACCTCTTGCCTGGGTTGTGATGAGTGCAGATCTGTTCTCGGGGATGTCCCATAGACAAACTGAAACCTAACAGGTGTGTGCTTTTGAGAATGCAAAGCAAACATTGACAAAAAGTGCATTCACTTTTTTTCTTAAGAGGTAAATAATGTAAAAGAAGGACAGTAAGATAAAAAATAAGTCAAAGAATCCTGGGAATAGGACATTTAACAAGAGCTGTTATTAGCCATCTTCAGTTTTTCATACTAACTTCCCTGAGGTCCCGGCAGACGATATGGCGGCATCTACACAGACACTGAATTTCCCCTCTGTGGTTTGTGTACAAAGAGAGGCCTTCACTCCCAATCTCTTGTGACCAGAGGCTGCTGGGAGCTGGTGATCACATCACCTGTGTTCTAAGGATATCATCTGGTTCAAGTAATTATTGTGTAATAGTGGGAACCAGCCTCCCATGCTGCTTTGACTAAGAGAAGATTTTTTTCCCCATTATTTTCTATGAGTTACATTGGCAGTTCTCCATCCTTGTCCATAACAAATTTTCATTTTTATTAAGGCTGCCTGTGAAGTGTCTCTTCACAGCCCACCAAAAACCTTAGATTTACAGGTATGAACTTAGTTAAAACATTTACATCAACGATACACCTCTACAAGGAAGTGGTGTTTTAATTCCAAGTCTTATCATCACTCAAATAAAGGCTCTTAAGTTGAAAAGTACATACCAGGTCACGAGGAGCACAGTTAAACCCAAAACACATCAGACCCTAATCTCCAAATAATATCGGCCATCTTCCTGAGAGTGACTCTTTTACTGGCCTTTCCTGAATGAAGTTTGTGTTGAGCAAAAAACTCCCTCATTCTGTGGTTGCTTGTTGGCAATATGGGAATGTCAGCCTGTTTACCATCTTAAAGACTATTGAAATGACCCTGATTGCACTTAGCAGGGGAAGCCAAAGGATGCCTGTGCCTGTGTGTTCATTAAACATCCTGTTGCCTTGTTTAACTACACTACGGTGTGTTGTGCTCAGTGTGTGAAAACACAGGAAATGCACTCAGGCTATCCACATTTGTGAGATGAGAAAGAAAGCTGACTTCCTGAACTCTGAATACTCTAAAGAATACAGGCATGCTAGTGGGAAAATTCATGGTAGCTGATTTTTTTTTTCTGCTCTGTTTGAAACAAGGGACACTTTATTTGGGCTTATAAGCTTGATATTGATAATGGTAATTCAGATCAAAAAGGAAATAGTGAAGACAAGCGGTTACATTTAGTAAAGCGCAGACACAGACTGCTCTGTAGCTTGATGACCCAATGTTAGACTCTTTGGAGAAGCAGATTTGTTTGTGTAACTGAGCTCACATAACAATTATGTCATGCTTACATCTGATTTTAGGTGAGAAAACAATCACAGGAGACAGTCACCTTTGCTCACGGGAAAGAAGTACACACCATCAATAGAAAGTCCAATCAAATTTTAACAAAAGTGTACAAAATGTATACAGGTCACGTGTAAATGTCCTGTAGCCATGGGCTATCTACTGTATATACAGTGAAAGAGAGAAGGATGTTTTTATGGCTGCAACATAAGGCTGTGGCACAAGCTGTATGAAAGCCAGAGCGATACAAAGAAACTTCTCACACAACATGCTGTCACTATGACAACCAAGCAGAATCATTTAGCCTGATCTCTTGCCATTCCACACAGCACAGAAATCCAATAGCATTTAAATCTTACACAACCAGGCCACATATTCACTCTGCAGAGGGTTTTTTAATGACTTTAGCAAGTAAGATTCATTTTAGGCATACATAGAGGTATATGGTAAGTTCTGCAAGGCAGAGAGATTGGAAAATGTCTTTGCAATGTTTAGGGATGCAAAGTAAGGGTAGCTTTAATTATATGAATTAAACTTCTGGTGAGCACCTTAGTCTTATTCCTCTACATTTAGCCAGTGAAAACTCAAATTACCTGCCTGTAACTCAATTTTGACCACAGTTAATGGTCTATCAATGCACAGAGACACACAATGCCATTCCAACTATCTTTTGTCAAAAGGATTTGTTTCAGAATTTATCCTCCTACACTGAAATGGTTTTGACAGCCAAATATTTAAATCTGCATTCTGAGCCAAGCATGAAATAGCAAAATAAGTGAAATTTATATGAATCAAAGTGCTGTCTTGGCACACTACATATCATCTTGAACAGGGTCCGATTTAATTCCACGTGCTGCAGCACTCGTCGCTGTGCACATTAGAAGAAGAAGCTTCCCACAGTCTTACATTGAGACTTTAAAGAGTGGTGAGTGGGCGGTGGATCACGGTAAAGCTGCTTAATGAAAGAAAACAAGTGAAATTGTTAATGGTCGAGTCAGTCTGTGTGTGTATGTCAACCTAAATCCTTCCTCCAGATTATTTTCTACTTTGCGTGCTATCACACAGACGCTTCCCTCTTGTATCAATGCGTGATTGAAGGGAAACTTCTTTTGGGAAGTGCGGGGACTACTTTAGGTCAACTTTGGAAGAAAACACTCCTCGTGGGCTGTCTTCGCTAACAAATGGGCGTAATTTAGTAAAATACACGTTATTAACAAATAAGAGAGGATTAGTTGCGTTCTGGCTGAGCGTATGAGATAGCAAGAGCATTATGCTTTTACTACGTCGCGGAAGGATCTAATTTTCTCAAGCGAGGGTCGACACATCCGCCCAGTTTTCCGATGTTTCATTCCCCCCGAGTTGAAAATGGAGTTCGAATAAAGCAGATGTCCACCAACTTCAGAGGGAAATTACAAGTCTGTGTGCATTTGCTCAACGCGCCTGTGCTCATATTGAACGCATTTGGAGCCCTTTCTTGCTTTTGGATGCCTTTACTGTAGATTACTCGGACACGTTGACGAAGCAACGCTCCACAGCGCTTTTTCAAGTGTTGTCCAGGACCTGAAGTTGGCGAATGGATGCTCGACAGCCAGCCATAAATAACACAGCAAACGCTCCGATTTACAACATTTATTCACGTTTTTGAGGATTTATCAGCATTTTTGTTGCAAACGAAGGATTTGATGAAGAAGATGGTTCCGATGGCCCATTTGTTGTGGTCGGATTTTACTTCCAGGGAGGATAAAATGAATCAACGATTGTCATTCCTCCTCGCGATTTAACGTTAGTTCCAGCCAACAGAGCTAACGTTAAGCTAGCTCCTCTTGGTTTTTCTTTTTTCTTTTTTTTTCTCTTACAAGGGGACGCACATTTAGACATGTCCCACTTTAACATATTTTACTGACTTATCCGAAATAGCGAGGGGTAATTTCTACATGTGAAGGAAAATGGTGATATTTGTGGTATTTTATCCCACCGTCACTGCGTCGTCGATGCTATTGCTAGGATTTGGATCCCCGTGAGGAAAAAAATGAGTGAAGATTCAACAAATCCAAACAACGAGTAAGTGCTCATTTTCTTCATGAAGTTACAACTGCTTTGAGGTATTAACACATGCTTTACTCGGTCGACCTAACCGAGAGATGTTGGTATTTCATCATCTGACTCTCAATATCAACGACACGGATTTATCATCTGTTTGTGGGGTAAAATTGTGCTTTATGGATTATTATAAAGGAAGTCTTAAAAGTAAGCGTTAAAATAAGAGCAGCCTCTTAATATATTGACCGAATAAAACAGCAAACACACAAGTTATGGCATTTTATTGAGGGTACGACATATTAGAAACGCTTTGTTTATGTTTCCCTTATATAATTTGTACAAAAAGACACATCTCTATAGGATTGTATGATGCATAATAGCTTAAGTAACGAGGAGTAGCCCGTCATAATCATGAAGGCGGTGTTAATCCTGTATAAAATACTATATGAATACATATTTATGGTACATGACGGTCAGGAAAGCGTTGTATTGACAGTCCGCCATTATTTCACTCGCATTACCAAGCGCACATCATGTTTGTATTAAAGTCTAGCCCGTCTTTCTTTCATGAAAACCATTCCTATTGCGGCAGCGTCGACGTTGAAGAAGCTGAAGATGCCATTTTTTTTCTCAATCGCACTCATTTACATATCACAATCTCCATTCATAAAAACGCTTTAAAAATGCGTCACGCGCACGCCCCAAATACCCCACAACCCTCGGAGTGTATTCGTAACATGAACGTGAGGTGTTTTTTGTCCGCGTCGCGCCCATTTCCAGTCGCATTTTGCCATTGTTTTAATGGGCTGATCCCTTGTGTGCGCTTGTTGACAGTCAGTGAGAAATATCTGCTTCGGGAGGTGCTGCGGTCACATGATCCTCTCCATTCATAAAGTACCTGCCTGCCCATTCACAGCACTGTAGCCTACACTGTTTCGCATTGCACCGACGATCACACAATGATCACATTTCCTGTTTTTTTTTCCTTCCTTCTGCACAATGCAACCCATTAAACCTAACATCTCGTCGTTTTAAGCGTCGTTTTCTTCCACTATTTCAGGATTCTCAACAGTAATGTCTTTTTCACAGAGGAAGTCATATGCCCCTTTCAGCCATTCACTGTGTCATGCTTTTAATGCTTGAAACACACCCATGGTTTTCCCCATTCCATCTCTAGACTCTCTAAGATTGCTTGATTTAATGCATAGAGGCTTTGTCCTTGAAGTGCACTTTTGTTTTTTACAGAACATAAGCCATGCGCTGCCTTTTCTTCAAATAAAGCCTCATAGAAAGGATCACAATAAGGGTACTCATCCTTAGAGGGTTATGTACTGATTAAAGGCAGTCTATGTGAGATTTCTCATAGATTTACTTAAAATTTGATTTGAGCAAACCTGAGTTGAAGTGGTAAGCAGTCATTTGAACTAGGGCCCGACCGATAGGGATTTTTTGGGGCCGATGCTGATACCGATTATTAGGGGGGGGGTCTGATTACTGATTAATCGGCCGATTTTTTTTTTTTTTTATGAAGTTATAAAAAAAGATATATGTATACTGTAGGTAGTGCTGGACGATAATTCGATAACAATATATATCGATCGATAGACGTGTGCTGCGATAGAAAAAAAACGGGTCGATAAAAAGTTCGATAGAAAAACACAGTTTCCCTTTCTTTTTCATCATAGCCTATCATGTAGCTTTTGCTACAGTCATTACTTCCTCCCAACCAATCACAAACGCAGACCCAGGTACGCTACGGCACCAAGCCCAGCCCCTATCAAACCACAACAGACAGCACGTGTATTAGAAAAAATGATACAGCAAGGAGAAGCGGAGGAAATTGTCCCGAAAAAAGGTTTCAGTAGTTCACCAGCATGGCAATGTTTTGGTTTTTAGAAGTCTGACAAAAAGCGAACAGCGGTCGTTTGCAAAATTTGCAGAGAATTAGTAAAAACCAAGTCTGGTAACACAACCAACTTGTTTTACCATCTAAACCGGTCGCACCCACAGGAGTACGAGCTGTGTCGGACGCGCCGCGGCTCCACGTCGTCGGAGGAGGAATCCTCTGGAACCGCTGCCAGCACCAGCACAAAGCAAGTGAAGCAGACCAAACTGGACTTCGTTTCTTGCCAAAATACGACAAAGCGTCCGAGCGGCATAAGGACATCACCCATGCAGTAACATGCTGCATAGCGAGGGACATACTGCCAATAACTACCGTTGAAAAGCCTGGCTTCGACCAGCTTCTAGCCACTCTCGACCCGCGATATGAAGTGCCCGGCCGCAAGTATTTCTCAAACACAGCGCTTCAGGCATGAAAATGGGTCAGGGGTTGAAAAGGTGAGAAGAATGCACCCCTGCATCCCGTCCACTCATTAGCTTCTTAAAGTGGAAGAAAATGAGCTCATATTTTACAAAGACGCGAGTATTTGGATCATGGCTACTAGCAGGGGGTGCATTCGGCAGGGGTGCATTCTACGACACAACACCGGCGTGGATAAGTCCTGCTTCTCGTGCTCAGTTTGCGTATCAAGTCAATCACATGATAATTAAAAATAATAAATCTCCCGACCCCGGGAGAAGTATTTCAGTGTTCAGACACCAGGCTGTGGGCAGTTTCCCACACGGTTAAAACTGGTAGTATGCTATTCCCACCTAAAGCTATTCTGTTTATTTATATATTTGTTTGTTTTGTTTATTTTCATCAAAAGACTATTTAAATATTTATTTATCAGATTTTCTGGTCACTTTAGTCTTTATGTTTGTCAGTATTTACTGACGTCACTCAGGCCCCTTAAGTTGATTTCTTTTTTTTTTTAGTTCTTTTTTAAAAAACTTTCAGTTGTGGTAAAATAAAAAAGGTGGTTGAATAAAGGTTTGAATTTGAATTCAGTGCTTCTGTGTTCTTTATTAAAAGTAGGTCATTAAGCAATAGCATAAAACATCCAGGGCTGCAATTAAAATATATGTTAAATAATTATAATAATTCTATCGATAATTATCGATATCGATCAATATGATTTATTTTTTATCGATATGCTTTTTTTCTATATCGTCCAGGCCTAACTGTAGGTATACTGTAGGCTACTGCTCTTCGACAGGAAGACTGACTGATCAAACTAGGACCAGAAGAGCGTTTTTAACCCCCCCAGCCGCTGATCGGTGCCTCCCCGTCTCAACTCACGTTACTCACTTCGGTCACTTCCGGTCTGGTCTCATCCGGAGACATGCAGCTGCCTCAGTAAGAGAAGTAGCTTGATCACGTAATGTGTGCTGTTGTTTATTCTACCGTTACTGGCACGGCTAACTTTGTAGCAAGGCTGACAGCAGATGGCTAACTCTAACTTTAGCTTGCATATTACATGGTGCTTCACCGTTAACTCGGCGTGACCAAGACCAGCACAGCAGGGAACATCGTGAAGTGGGTGAACTGGAACATGTTGACTTATTGTGTATTTCACAAACTGGTTTATGTACCGTTGAGGCGGACCACTCTCCTCCGTGCGTCCCTGAGCTGCCTGCTTCAGATCCGTCACTCTGCTGTGCTGTGAGGTAGTTAGTGGATGAAGATTGTCATGAAGTCGCTGCGCCATCTACTGAATAAGTCGGGGAACTTTTCAAATGGCGGAACATTTTCGAAGTGAAACTGAATATTATTCTCCGCATTTTATCTCTAAAAATAATCTGATTAGTCTCAAATGGGCTAAAATTCGCAGATTTAATCGGCTAGCCGATAAATCGGTTGGGCCCTAGTAAGGAGTAATTTGAACAACATTTCCCACAGTTTCAGCCTCGAGTGACTAAAAATGCAGCAAAGATTTTTGCTGAGACTGCTGTCAGTAACTTAAGAGACCCCTCAAGGCCTTGGGCGCTCTTTTGGAAGCTGCTGCTATAGGCTACAGATCATCAGACCCCAGTATATGATGGGTTTGCAGCAGCTGAGATGGCGAAGTGATCTCGACATTGTTGCTATGATTCCACCACCTTTCCCTCTGTTTTATGATTCATAGTGATGGAGAGGACAGAATACAGATCGTAGCCTTTAAGCCCCTTCTGACAGATGCTTTTTGTTTTGATCAGGATATTTTCATTTTTAATATGTGTGTCTCAGTTTTACATTTCACATCTACTACACTGATGAGACAAATCCAGATCTTTGATGAGTCACTCCAGTTTAAAGAGAACAGCCCTTACTTTCATAAACTAAAACTGTTCCTATTTTCTGTTTGCTTGCTCATAGAAACATATATCTGTCGTCCTGTGGTTTGTGCTGTAATCATTCTATTTAAAACCTACTCAGAATGTGTGAATGTAGCGTCCTGAAGTGGTTTTGTTTTAGTGATGGGTGGTAAGCCAAGCTGTTGTACACACATAGCTCGCCCTTTGCTGAGAACATCCTTCTTGGCCTTGGCGCAGCGACGTTCTCAAGGCTGAAACGGAGAAAGACGGCACATGCTACAGCCTTGTCATGTTTTGGTTTGACGTAAGGCTGATGGGAATTTTGATGGTGGAAGTATCCACAAGCCTCTGTAGAGTGTTAATCTGACATATTTATCTCCAACCAAGGCAGCGATCTTTTGAGGTACACTACCCTGGTACCTTTCATTCATTGGTGACATTAGGAGATTAAAAGGATCATCAATTAACCCTTCACCCTTGTTTTTCAGTGATCTTCAGCTGCATGTGTGTCCATCTTTACCGTTTCATCTTTATTGTTTTAAACTCCTGCACTTCTGTAGTTATTGTCTGCTGCCACTCAGGTGACTCCACTCTCTGTGTCCTCTTCCTATCTGCGTGATTGATTTGACAGCTCAGTGTTTTATCTGCCAGTGTGGGTGTCGTGATCTTATCACCTGAGGGCTGTTTTGCACTAGCAATCCTGTTGCAGAGCTTTTCCAAACACATTCCTCCCCAAACAACCCCCATCATGTCCTGAAATGACAAAGGGAGACAGCTACTTCAGCTGTTGGGCCCTGTGCTTTACAGCCTGGGTAATTGCCTGTATCCTGTGGGCCTTATGTTAACCTAAATAATTTCCTGGACCTTTTTTATAGACAGTATTATTGCCAGTTGTTGGGTTTGACCTCCATGAACACTAAGCTTTACCAGCTGAACCAGACGAAGCTTTAACACAAGTTACCTTTTGGCTAAGTCTGAGCTGAGCTGAACATGTTTGGTTTTGCTTCTGTATTCTTTTAAGGAAGTGTTGGTTGTGACTACAGTGGTTTACACTCTGATAAAGTGTTTTTGACGATTATACGCACAGAGGCACTTGGTACAGCACTTTACTTTAATGGTTAGTGGCAGCCTCTACACATTAGGCTAGGTTCTAAATGCCGAAATAAAAATGTCTCTCAGTTTCACGTCATTTAGAGAAGGTGAAAAGTTGCATTATTCGCAAAGTTGCTTTGCAAAAAGAATTTTGTGTAATTATTGACAATGATCCTCTGTGTTACCGGAGGGCTTGGACTGTCTGTAACCGAGACAAGCCAACAAACTGAACAGGCCTTGTATAGTGGTGGACTGTTCCATTCCCATGGCCAGATTTAGGCCTGGATCCTGTGTATTTTAAACCTAAGCCACTTCCCTCTTATAATTTTCATTTCCTCTTCAAGTATTTTAGGAGGGGGCATAAACTGGCATAAATGTCAACAGAGTATTTCAGAGTAATGTTTGTTTAATTGTAAGACAAATGTGGACGTATGAAGATGGCTTCCACTAAAAAAAAAACAGTTTCATCATCACACCATCTGATAGCAAGGCTCGTCCTTTTTCTTCAAGAAGAGCCTCTGATGTTCGCAGACTATATCTCAGTTCCTTTGAGAAGTGCTTTTAGCACCAAGTGTCTGAATTGTGGATATTGTTTTCAGTTGTGCAGCATGCGGGAGCATGAAGGCTGGGCCTTGTTGTACGCTCTCTGCTGCAGCTGGGCCGCGATGGTTCTTCCCTGCGAGGCCACAGACATAAAAGGACACAGATGTAAATCCTAAACCTTGTGTCTTTGATTGAGTTTCCAAACACTTTGAAAACAGGAAGGGGTTTCTGTGTGTGCGCCTGTGCGCACACACACACACACTCATGAGCTTGTTCTCTGGGAACATTTGGCATGTGTATGTGTTTCTGGTAGAGATAGGCCTGGTTCTTAGATGAGTGAACTGAAGCAAAAATAGCTTTATGTAATCATATAAATGAATTATTGAGGCATGTTTTCAGATAGGACTGAGTAGTTGGTCTGTGAGAATGTATATTTTTATCTTCTTTGTAACTTCTGATCACTCTCAGTCTTGTCAAGTGGCTATATTTAGCATTTGTAACAGTCTTTTATTGGTTGGTAAAAGCGGCTCTTGATTCGAGCAAATCTACCAAGTGAAGATTGAATCTGAGTCTTACTGATTTCCAAGATGAGCTCGTGACATTGCTATTATTTACAACAACTTATCGCGGTAGTTTAACTTCACAGCTACAGGTGATCAAAATATGTTAGAGTTTTCCTTCATATTGACGGTTTCCCCTCCAGACGACTGCGCTGTTTCGCTCAGTCCCACCTCAGAGTGACTGACGAGTTGACGCTCGAGTCCCAAGGGACTACTTTTACATCAAAGAAGACCAGAGACGCCGCAGCAGTCGAAATTTGTGGTCCGACCCCCCTTTTTTTTGGTAACGGCAAGCACAAGGTTTTAATTTTCCAAATGCTTGCGGTTCAAATTAAGATCATCTCAATATGTGCCTGTGATTGATGTTTGGGAATAGTTCTTTGGCGTTCGATACACATATGGGACTCTTTTTGATTTATAGTGCCACAGCACAACGGCACCTAAAACATTGTCGTTGGGGTTACAGAGCCGTTCCAGTAATAGAGGGGTTGGTTAGAAAATCACTGTCAGAAACGCTGTCAGCCTGAGCAGCTTTGACATTCATTTTCTGGTTTAGGTTTATCTTTGATTTGGACAATACCCGCTGCTGTCTGACGGATGCTACCAGAAGTGGATATGATAGGCAAATTTGTCGTCACACAAGTCGGCGTTTCTGTGAAAGGGATGGTGGTAAATTTGAAGTGTGGTGCAGCAGCAGAAGGGTTGTTCTCTCTCTCTCTCTTTCTCTCTCTCTCTTTTTTTTTTTTTACTCCTGAGTCAGTCGGTAGCTAAGCTGAATGTTCTTGTGAGGGAGATGACTCACCAGCGGCCTGAGGTGTCGAGAGGAGATAGGGCAAATTTTTCTTTCACTTCTCTTTCTCTAGCCAACATATTAGTTTTCACTGCAGCTAAAGTAGCAGGCTTGTGATGTCGGCCGCCTGTCGGTGCCTCCGCTGCCATTGTCCCATTATTAGTTCAGTTTTTTTATTAATGGCTGACAGACGGTCCCTTTTATAAGTGTCTTGTTCGGGCCTTATGTCATAATTTGCTCTGCATCCATGTTGGGTCATGTTGCTGTTTGTTGTGAGTATGTCTGTGCCCTTGAGTTTGCCACTGGTTATTTAGGGGATTTGAACCGTGGCTAATTGGCCGGCTAGTTTGCACCGTTCAGATTAGATGCACTGCTGGAATCGACGGTCGAGTCCCAGATTGCATGTAATTCATTTCTTCAATGAGGCGTGATCACATTGAAGGAAACTGCAGCTCCTAATCCTCTTACAGCTTTAGCTTCAACGTAAGGTACTCTAGACTTGTTTTGGTCGAAAGTCTGGAGAACCACACTGAGATAGTGGTGTTATAACAACAAGTTGAGACTTTTGTTGACCCTTGGGCACGTTGATCGATGTGAAATAAAAATTCTAGTGCGTTTTCGGTGAAGCTAAAGCCATTGAAGGTAGTGTAAGATCTGTGAATTCTGTCTGTGTTAACAGCTGGTGAAGACGACCACACATTTTAGTAAGCTGAGAGTATGAGTCACACCAAGACTAGCTTTTCACGACGTCTTCGACTCCCTTTCTACTTTCCTAGCGATTGCTTCCGTGGATAATCTATAGAATCGGATTGGGATAAGTAGCTTGTGTTTATTCCCCCAATGATATTTTAATGATTTTTCTCCCCCCTTCAAAAGTCCGACCAGCCAAAGTGGTCCAGTGAAGCTTGACCAAGCTTGACAGCCTTCCTCCGGTTTTGATACAGGGAAGAGATGGGGAGGAAAAGGGGTGATGGAGGAAGAAAAAAAGCGTCAAGGGGGGAGCTTTTCTCCCCTTTTCTGATGCTAATGAAAGGAGGAATGGTTTTCCAGCTTTTAGCTTGCAGAGTGTGTCTCCCCTGCAGCATGCTCCGCTGCCTGGACATTGTGGGAGGACAAAACTCCAAGCCCGGGATCCAATAACGTGAAATTTCAGCAGAGAAGCGGCCATTGTGTAGAGAGAGGCAGCCGGGAAGGGGTTGGGTAGAAGGGGGGAGAAGGAGCAGGAGGAAAGGAGCAGGAGGAAAGGGAGGGTGACTTGGCGAGCACCCAGGGCTCAGGCCACATCCTTTCTCTCTCTTCTGTCCTCTCCTCTTTCACTCCCCCTCTTCCTTCTCCTCCTTCCCTTATTCTCCCCCCTTCTGTCTTTCTTTACCCCCTCTCTCTCCATCTGGGGTGGGAAGCCCAAGGCTGAGACAGGAGCAAAGCATGATGGCACGCTGGAGTCCGGCGAGCCATGGGCCGGAGCAGCAGACAAATGGCCACTTTGTCAACTTAGGAAATGGTTGTCCCAGGATCCCCCTTCTCCACCGTACACTGCAGCAGCCGGCCTCAGGGCCCAGGCCTGCTTGCCTGCTCTGCACGTGCTCCTCCATCACGCCTTCTCCTCTCCTCCCTTCTCTTATCTTTTTCCAGCAGTTTAATTCAGACCAGGGCTGATTTCTGCTCTGGCAGTAAAACCTTAACCCTCTTGTGCTGCTTTTCTCTTACTGTAAACGAGCTCTGAAGGCAAAAAAAAAAAATACAACCAGGGCACATTTCCTTATTGCCTTTGTTATGTTGTTATAATATCATAAAAGCTAAATGACATCCTTACTGTGAAAAAGAAAAACGGCCTAATCTATACACAAGCTGTTGACTGTCACCTAGTTCTCCACCCTGTTCCCATCTACAGACACCTCCTCCTCCTCCTCCTCCCCCAGCGCAGTCCTCCGTTACACTCTCACCCCCTCCCTCTCTGTGTCTCTCCTGCTTTCGGTCGGAAATGAAGTCAGTCATCCAGCAGAATAACTTGGAATAATTTGGAATGGGGGGCTCCTTTCTCTCTGTCTTTTTCCCTCCCCCTCTCCCCCTCCCTCCCCCCTTGCTCACAGGCCCGGGCCAGCTGATCTGCTTCCGCTCTCAATTGTGTGTCCAGTCGACTGTGTGCTCCCAGCAAGGGGCGTGGAGGCCGGTCTTTGTCTCCACCATCCCACTCTGAACCCTGCGTTTGTGTGTGTGTGTCTGTGTTGAAGCAGGTTGCAGTGAAATATCTTCTTGGAAACAGTTTTTTGGAAAGTTTTTTGTACTTGAGGGAGAAGAAGAGGAGCAGTTGAAGCTTATTTCTCTTTGTTTTGAAGGTTTTGTTAAAAGGAAGTAGCAGGCTGAACTATTTAACGACTACAATAATCATGTTTCACAACAAGAAATTTATGGATGTCTCAAACTTGATACACACACACCCACAGTCCACTCCACTTCCTCCTCAGCCCCTCCTCCTTACAAATGTCATGGTTGCTGGCATGTGTGTGATGGTAGGCCCGAAGGGTCAGGCCCTGGTCATTGTGCCCTGGTCATGGCTGAGCGACACCACCGCCTGCCTTCTGTTCACCCTAGGGACCCCCGCCTGATTGACAGCCCCTCCTGCACCCATCACCCTGCATCCTTTTATTGGGGGCCATAGAGGGTGTAACAGCAGCAGTATTTCCTTTTTTTTACTGCCTGTTAAACTGCACAAAAATGCATTTTTCGGCTGTTGCAGAGGTTCTCATGTCAGGTTAAGCACTACGTTTAAGGCGCTGTAAAGAAGTGTAACCAGAAAGGGTGTTGCTGGGAGGATGCAAGGGGAAGTTAGTTGTGGTGGTGTTTTTCTACAAGTTGTATCACACTTTTCAGTTGTCTTGCTGACAACGATGCTCAAAGTTCATTTAGTTGGATTCTTGATGTTAGTCGTTTGATAAGTCCTCTGTCTCTTCTGCTCCAGACCTACCATCATTATTACTTGAGCATATTTTTCTAATTGGCACTATAGTTATTGATTTTTTTTTTTTTTGGATCAGTTAGCTCATGAAGAGGCAGAATAATAAAAGCATCTTGTGCAAAAATTGTTTTGGAATTATTATGGTTATAATACCAAGCAACACACTTCCAGTGTGTCCACTTTTGCTTGCACCGTGACTGACAAGGCTTGTTGAAAATAAACAACACATTGGCAGGCACCAACCTTGAGCAAGCAGCAGTGTACACAGCTTCTCCGAATATAACAATTTGGGGATTTTGTAGATATTCAGTCTAAACCAAAGATTGATTTCTAAGTAGGTTTTAGAAATTAAAGAAGTTGGACAAAGCACTTTGATGAATATATTACATATGGGCCTTCTTTGTTTTTCCCCCAACTATTACTCATGGATAACCCTCACTTTATACCAGGTTCCCAGAAGTTACCATGAAACAGCTGAAAGGACTGATATTTAATTCTGCACATTTGTCTGTCCTTGAAGAGGTTGGGGGGAGGAAAAAGGGTAGGTTGTTGGTAGTGTTAATAACTGTTTTCAAGACAAAAAAAGTGCTGAATTGAAGGATTTTAAGATTTATCTGATTTACTGACCTGTTTTAAAAAAGGAAATTCAAATCTCAAAAATCAAATTTGTCCGAAGGTGAGAAAACTCTTACAAAACTGTCAAAAATGAATACAATTCACAGAGTCTGAGGTAAATTTCACGTGAAATTGCTCAGTGTGAGCAAGGTTAGTATGGTTAGCACCACCAGCCTTCAGTTCCTCTTGCAGGTCAACATCCACATGCCTGTGCTGGTTTTAAGCAGACACAGTATACAACGTTTGCTCTGAGATGCCAGCTGCCATCTGTGCTTGTTTACATCCAGGTAAAGAGCATCAGAGCAATTGGTGGGAGACTGCACAACAGCTTAGACAGAATAATAATTCTATTAACTACCCTGATTGACTGGTAATTCTAGTGCCTACAAGGCAGCATGTTGAATTGTTAGGTTGACTAAGACCAGTGAGTATGCGGATGTCATGCTACCATAGGTGTGTAAGCTTTGGCAGTCAACCAACCAACTTTCATTATCTTGGGCTAGGGATGGGCGATAAATTATCATTGACGATATATTGTCAAGAAAAATCCTCCATGATAAATATTTGCCATCCCGCGATAAATGCAAGTTGATGACGTGAGTGCGAGCGACGGACTGGCAGCCATAGCCCATACAGAGCAGAATAACAAACAAACATGGCCGAAAGTAAAGAGGACGATGTTTCTGAGCAGCTTGTTACTCGTTTGGTTTCATTCGTTTTCTCCCTAACCTACCACTTAAACTTGTGGTAATTATCTTATTTGACTATTCCAACTGGTGTTCTCAAGACAAAATGAGTCAAAAATATAGATCGGAATCATAACATTTTTTATCGGGACTTTTATCGTTATCGCCAGAATGGCAAAACTCATTGTGATAAATTTTATAGCCCATATCGTCCATCCCTATCATGGACCAGTAATTATTACTTAATTCTTCCATTAGAGAGTGATAAAAATGTTATCTTAATTTAATTTTTTTAAAGAGGTACAGCGCAGCAAAAAATGAACTAAATCAGTGAACAACTGAGCAGCTTCAAAGCAGAGTGAATGTGTGCCAGTGACCTCTTTCACATTGTCATCTTGTAAATGGCTTTTTGTACTATTTAAGAGTTATCGTTTTCATCAAGTCGGTTTATTTCAAGATTTTTACGTCCTGCGCATCGATCCATGAATCGGCCATTCCCAGGGTTCTAGGATCTCAAGGTTTTCACATGGTAAAAAAAAAAAAAGCTATCTTGAAATTTAGATTAATTACTAACCAATAACCTGGGCACTGCCGTTTGCCCAGGGTGTGGAAGGCAGAGGGCCAAAGGTTAGTCTCATAGAGTTGGACAAGATTTAGAGACAAGAGGCAAAGAGTGGGAGGACAGCTATTCTTCTTTTAAAGCAGAGGCTACGATTTAACTATGTCATTATTACATTTTCTTTTTTTTTTTTTAAGTGAGTGACGTGTTCCCCCTTTTCTGGCTGTTTCATAGAAGAAATATTCAAAGTGTTTCCTAACATGTGATGTCATATCTGTCGTTCTACCAGGACTTAGGCCAGAGAGCAATGTGTCACAGGAAGACATCCGGCAGTCACACTCTTTTAGTGCCGTGCCCATGTCTGTCAGCTTTCACTTCTCCCCCCAGTATTTAATATTTTACCCAGTGTTTCTGCAAAATGCTGCCCTCAGCATACCCTGACCTTTGTCATTTCCGGTGGCCCAATGCAGTCTGTGTTATCTAATCAGAGAACCATCTGACTTCAAGGCAAAGAGGAACGAAGGGAAAGCAATAGATACAGACTTAGCACATATTATTAAAAGTCAGTATCAAAGCGTGGTGTGATAAGGCTGAGATCAATATGGTTACACATCAAAGTAGAAAGTTGTCCTTCTTATCTGCTAAAAATGATTGAAAAAGATCACACAATGATGTCATGTGATTTGAGAAAAATGCTTCACCAGGACCTCTCATCCTTGGAGGTCCAAAGAGGTGAGCTGAAAATAGCGACCGGGACAGGAAATCGCAGCAATATTGGAAAGAAACCGTCATGAGTAAAAGCCTGTGAAATGTCTCGTACAGTTTGAGGTCACCTGCTTTGGGACAGAGGTTGGAAATCTACTGTGTCCAGTGGCTGAACTTGGCCACATGGTCAGTAACCCTCTGTCTGTCTGTAGTTAAACATACACCGACTGCTTCAGACTGTAGAAATGGTCACCACAAGTCTGTTATATCATGTGCTAAATATACTCTAAAAACCATGGTTGAACCCTTGACTTTGCTCCCCTTATATTCTTTTTTTAGTGTTGCTGCAGGTTTCAGATTAGCTTGTTAGTAGTAATTGTGTCTGGAACCAGTCAGGTGTCCTTAAAGGGTGTGTTTGTTTTGTGTCACCTCAGCAACAGAGATTACTGTAATGTGGCAAGTGCTGAATTGTCTTTAAATGTTCAAACTGCAGGTCAAACCAGATCTCACTGGCTCTGTCGTATCTGTTTATCTCTATGGTGCTCTTTACTACACGTCCACTGACTATTTTGTGTAGGCTCCATGTACTGTACTATAACTCAGCTGTATGTGGGCCGGTGTTTCATGTAGGCTGTCTGCTTCTGTTGATGTGTTTTGTGATCCAAGTTTCAAGACCCCGAAGGAAAATATCATGATAGATTTTTAAAAAAATGCTGATTACCACTGATTATGTCGACTTAAAATACTGTTTTTTCTTTTGCTCTCTTCCTCCCACCTCTCTCTCTCTCCCTCCTCTGCAGTGACAGTTATGCGCGCGTGAGAGCAGTGGTCATGACTCGGGATGACTCCAGCGGTGGGTGGCTTCCCCTGGGGGGCGGAGGCCTCAGCTGTGTCACCGTCTATAAGGTTAGCCGGGCGGAGGACAGCGGCAGTACCCACAGTGGAGGCAGCGGAGGGAGCAGCACCAACCTTAGCCCCTGTAGCTCTAGTCCTAGTCCAAGCCCAAGTCCCAGTCCCAGCCCCACATCCGTGGAGTTCCACATCAAGGGCGAGAGACTCAAAGACAAACTGGTAAGAGGACCATTCTGCTTATTTAGGGGGAATGACCCTTTTTTTGAAATATTTCTGGTGCTGCACAAAATCTTTCATGCACAAACAAGAGATGGTGCATTCTGCCCTATGAGGTCACCCTGGCCGCAACCGCTTTCCCAGACTCCCCCTCTCTCTGACTCGGCCTCACTCACCGGCACACGCACTCACACAGGAAGTGCTCGTTTGGCTTTCTTTCACAGTGCAGGTATCTGAAAATAGGAGTGAACTGCGTGACGCTGTGATGCATGATGATATCATTAAAGAGAAGAACAGATTACTCAGGAGCAAAGTATGTGGAATGAGGGATGTGGGAAACACACAAAGAGCTTTGGAGAGGGATCTTAACGGGGAGATAGAGGCAGGAAATGACCGCTGACTCTGTTTTTCCATGAGAAGTATTTGTCAACCTTTTGTAGTGTTCCCTCCACCTTACTGTGTGATGTAAAAACGGCATACTTCAGTGAATAGTCAGGAAATGGTGTTACAGGACAAGAAATCTATAATTGTAAAGTCATTTATTAGGAATGAACAATGGAAAAAATGTTAACCAGGGAAGACTTGTTTAATGCCAGTAAAATTACTCATCTTTTTTGGCCATTGTGACTATTTGAGGATAAAGTTTAAAGAGGTATTTGTGTGCTGTGTATGGGGACTTATGCGATACGCTGCCACTGTGTATTTCTTTGACATGTCTTAACTGTGGCGCCTTTTCAGGTGACTTGTAACAATGGTTGTGTTTGAACTCGAGGCCTTATTTTGTCACCTCAGAATGGTTGTAGCATGTTTTGCAGATTTGCTACGACTGTGACTGTGCAGATTGTGAGCTGCATGTCTGTAGTTGAACAAGTGCATCTTTTAGTCAAATTACAAAACCTGGACAAAGAAATTGTTCTGATTTTATCAAGTGAGCATGAGGCTTTTATGTCCTTACAGGAGCAGGTTTCCATCGACAGCAGCACAGAAAGTACAAACCAATCAGGTGTAAAGGTCCTTTCACACCAGGACCGTTTTTATCGTGCGATTATTTCGGACATCAATATTTTTTTCGAACCCGTATCCTGTCAATACAAGCGTTCACATCAGCAATGTTTTCCTGTCCTGCGATATTGCAGCATTAATTTTTCGGATCATGGTCGATTTTTCTAAAGTTTCGCATACTGAGCGTCCACTTCTGACCAGTGTTGTTTTTGTTGGTGATGATGTTTACGAAAACAACACTGGCTGTTTTTGTTGATGAAAATATTTCGTCAATGCCCCTTTTTTTTTCCACGACAAAGACGTGACATTGATGAGGTAAACTAAAGTCTTTGATGACTAAAATGTGACAAGACGACTGTGCGTTAACCTTGATGAGACGTGACTAGACGAAAACGTTAGTGGTGGACGATGAACAGAGTTGCAAATTCATGAGCATTTCGTCAGTCAAACGCTAAACATATATTCTGCAGTGTGTTGTTTTCGTTGATGGTGTTGTCGTTGTCATCATCACGTCGGCTCTGGTGTGTAGGGACCTTTAGTTGTAATTCATAATTATTGTATCAGATTTCATATAGCGCTTTATCAGAGACCCTCAAATTGCTTTACATTGGATACATCATTCATTCGCTTACACAGTCACACCTCTGTGGCGATCAACTACCTTAGCTGTCACAGCTGCCCTGGGGCTGCTCAAATGCATAACTTAAAAGAAGAAAAAGTTGGTTGTTGTGTGAAGAAAAACTAGAATCAAAAGACATTTTTGATGGTAAAAACTTGACAAACGGAGGTTCAAACTTATCAAGCATCACAGAAGCTTTTTGTCCTCAAACACAAGCATTGCTCTTCGACTGAGAGGGGTGAGCATAGGAGAATTCGAGATCGAATCTGACGACTTAATCGTACTTAACATTCCCATCTTGCTTGTATCCTAATAATGGAGGAACATGTCACCTCTTGGACGAACTCTGATTGGTTATCATGTTTAAATGAAAGGAGACATCACTACGCAGTATGTAAGACACCTTTGAAGAGGAAGGTCTATAAGAAACAGATTGCGCACATTAAACTTTGCAGCTCATTCCAAATACAGAGAACTTCAAAGAAATAATGGTATCAGAATTAGCTACTGGCAAAGCTATTTTAAACCTTTGTATCTGCCCTGATTTGAAAATGAATCAATGCATCCCGAGGTTTAATTCTTTTCACTGGCGCCATGTGCAGCATGAGGCACAAAAACCAGCAAAGTATGCAGCCATTCTTGTCCTCCAGTCCTAATCCTCATGGCTTTTGACGCTTCTGCCAAACTCCTGACCTTCTTGTCACAGACTCATTCTGTGTTCGAGATGTAAAACAGATCCAGTAGATGTACTGGGATAATCCTGGTTTGTGGTAATGAGAGTGTAAATCTGTGTTTGTGAGAGAGAGATAGAGAGGCAGAGGGACAGAGACACAGAGTGAGTGAGAGAGAGAGAGAGAGAGAGAAAACTGTTAGATGTCAGGGGAATCAAGGAGGCCACCATGATCCTGACGGTTCAATATTAGAGGCTTGTTTCAGCAGAGCGTCTAAATCACCTCTTTTTTTTAATCTTTCCTGACTGATCACACTTTATGTGTGTGTTTAGTGTTTATGGTGTGTTTGTGTTTTTGCGCGTTGCTATCCAAGCATGTGTGTGGCACAGGAAAAGGGTGTGACGGGAATTCTGTTTCGCAGACAGGGTTAAGACATGGCTCAGAGACCCCGGCATCTCTTCTGGGATGTGGTAAAACACCCCTATCACCGCCAGAGTCTACCCCTCAGCCACCACAACAAACACCCCGCCATATGTGGGTCTGTCAGGATGCCACCCAGGGCCATGGTGTTGGCATCGACCACAGCGCTGCCGACGAGTCTGAGTGCATCAGGAGGAGGAGGAGGAGAAGCAAAGTGATGAATCCATGAAAACAAAAGAAACAGACAAAACCACATAAGGATATGTTGGCCTGAGTCGGAAGAAAACACAGGGCAATATCTGTAGTTGTTACCACAGCGTTGTTTAAAACAGTAACATTGGTGTTTTGATACCGGAGGTAAAAGAAAGACCATAATTATGTTGTTTGAGTAAAAAAGAGGCCAAGGATGGCGCTTCTGAATGTTTAAAAGACTGGTGTGAATTGTTATGTCTGAATCACAGAAGAGGAAAGTTCAGATTTTGACATCATTGTCAGAGAATATAGTCGTTTTAATCAAGACAAACAGAAATACAACGCTTTTTCCTGAAAGAAAAAAAAAAAAACATTTAAGATCTAGTTATCCAAATCTCTAAGAAAAATGAAGGCTTTTTGGGCGCATCAGATACGAGGTGATTCAGGGAAAGAGATGCGTGTAGTCAAAGAGCAAGAAACAGAGGTGGAGCCAGAGAGACGGGAGACGGAAGAGGTGGAGAGGATCTGTCTATAAGCGCAGTGATGCGGCACAGAGTGTACTGGTGATGACTCAGCTGGCTCTCCATATAGCTACCAATCACTCTCCTCCTTGCCCGCTTCCCCTCCCTCTCCTTTTCTCTCCTCTCTCTTTTCTCTCCATCAATCTGATTCACTTGCTCTCTTCCAAACTACAGATCTAATTGGTCAAAGATTCCTAAATCACACCGGCTCTACAACTGTGGCGAATATCTGGTGTAGCTGTGACAGCATGAATTGTCATTTATAGTCTGTGACTCCCTCATGACGCTCTTTTTTCTACTGGCACATATGTATGATTTGAGTTTGCCAGATTAATACGGTTTGTATTTGTAATTGTTGAAAAAAAAAAGAGGAGCGATTGGTATCAACCGGAACAACTGCCTCCCACTAAGCCTCCAAAACTTGGTGCTTTGGTTATTGCATAACACCTTTTATGCCTCTATAGCTCTATTTTTGACTGACTTTTACAAACTTGAAACATCACTTCTACATTCATAGACAGATAGGATAACAAAATTGAATTCTTCTCAGCTCAATTTTTTGAAAGAGTTACCTTTTTTCGCTTTACCCCCTTACTTCTCTCACGCTTTCAATCCTCATGTCCCCCCCTTTATGTCTACAGCTTCTATTCTATTTTTCTATCTCTTTTTCTCCTCCTCCTCTTTTCTCCAAGCACAGCGTGGAATGCGGTGTTAAGTGTCGTCCTTTTGCATGCAACCATGATACTTCCTCCTCCGTCGGCCTGGCTGTGCGCTCACCTTACCTGCTCCGGCTCCATTCAGTCTCGCCTCCACAATCAGCCCCAGAGACAGAGCAGACCCCACCAACCCCCCTCCCCTTGTCACCCCATCCTCCTCACATGCAATCCTCTCTTCTTCATCCCTCTGGCTCCTGGTAAACTCACAGGCTTTACCTTTAACCCTCATTATCTTGTAATAGCGACCTAAAGACAGATATTTGGAGACGTATCTCCATGCGGAAAAATGTTTCATGCGTCCATTATCAGCGAGGGTAAGAAAAGCTTTCCCTCAGACACTTAGGATGAAATGTATACCTGTGTGCACCCTCCCTGACACTCCTATCACATATCATCCAGCTCATATACAGCTGCCATGTAGTAGCTTCTTAAAGGGAACATGTTTACTCTTGTCCAGCTCAACAGGGAACGGTGCCATCTGCTTTCAGCTATCGAGTATTGGTTTGTGATTGCAAAGATGCACAGTGTTGTACCACTTGGATTAGCGTTTTAATCACACCAGCTCCTGTGCTACTGTTTTTCCCCCCTGCACGGGCTCACACATTCACACCCCATAAAGCCACCTCTCGTGCACGCCGGTTTAAAAAACCTCAAAGACTGTAATGGCTGTCTCTCATTTCATTTAATCTGCCTAGAGGAAGGCCAGGAGGCGGCCTAGTAGCCCTGATTAATAATAGGCTTTGAAAATACACTTGGGCTGCCTGGCTCCAAAACATACAACCTACCCCCCTTCCTTTTTGTCCCCACCACTGCTCTCCAACTTTATCATGATCTGTAATGAAAACCCACCATTTAAAATGTATTTTTCAAACTATCCGGATATGTAAGTGTCATCATTCAGATTAAGATGTTTCCTGTTTTTTGGTAGTCTGTTATTTACAAGTAGAGTTATGGTTTATTCCAGATGCAGGCTTCTCTTCCTAATAGTTTCTGACTCATTGCAATTCTGCATCATTGCAACTGTGGAATATTAGGGGGGATCAGTGGAATGACTTTGCCCCACCATGATACAGCCATGCGGTACACATTGTAGACAAGATGCATCAAGGGTTTAGATACCCTGCTGTGAAATTTCTGTATGTTTGAGCCTTATTTCCGTGTCTATTGCTGCGTTCCAGTTACCTTGGAAGTCAGAAAACCAAGATGGACGCCTACAGTTAGCTGTTGTTAGCTGTTGCTTACAGTCGTCTGCCGTCACTTGCCGCTGTCAGTTGTTGTTAGCCGTTGTCAGCTGTTGTTCCTTGTTGTTCCTCGTTGTTAGCTATACCAGTTATAAACAATGCACAACACAGTATTTTACTCTACAAACATCATAGCACCGTGTTCACATTTAGACATTGGTCAGCACAACATATCCCACTTATTTAATTTCACCAAAACAAAACAGAAGTGCTGATAAATAATACATTATGAGAGCTTTCACTGTTACTCTCTACTGTTGATGCACTGCGCTGCCATCTTGAATTATTACTTGTTGGCGAGGATCGTCCGACTTTCTTGATTCAGAAATCTGACTTCAGTGGGGCATTACAGATGAATTTCTGATTCAGAGCTCGGGAGTACAACTGGAACGCAGCATATATTCCCTCACTGTTGTGGTTGTAGAAGGATTGGATGTGATACATTGTTCTAGCCAGTAGTAAGGATTGTCATCAGTCAGACCATCGACGACTTTTGACCAAATGAACTGCAACTTTGTTGAGTATTATCTTCTTCATCTCAAACTCTTGTGTATTGACAGGTGGTGCTGGAGTGTGTCCTGCAGAAGGACCTGGTATACAACAAGGTCAACCCCATCTTCCACCACTGGAGGATCAACGACAAGAAGTTTGGACTGACGTTTCAGAGCCCGGCTGATGCCCGTGCATTTGACCGGGGGATCCGTCGGGCCATCGAGGACATCAACCAGGGTATGTGTGCGTTCATTAAAGTTAAAAACCCACTGCGATGAAGATAGTGTTTTTCTTGTTGTCTACATGTTCAAATGGCATTTTTTTAAGCTACAGGACATTTCATGAGAATCCTGAGTATTTGTGCATTCAAATCGCTGTGAATCTCTGGCAGACCCAAACGGCAGGGTCAGACACAGTGAGATTTCCCATGTAGCGAGCCCCGCTATGCAGGCCAGGCTTGGAGAAACAGAACAATCACGGAATAAGCGTGTGCATTAGTTGATTGCAATGCTTGTAAGAAAGCTAATTATGATATTAACTTTCATCATGTCCCTAAAGACATGAGTGTCTGAGAGCTGAATAGCTTCTATCTTACCTGCTTCTTCTACAACACCGGCAATGTTAGACTGCAAGCTAACGCGAAGAGAAATGTGCAGAGCAGCGCTGGCTCCGCCCACGACTCAGAGGCGAAGAGGTGAAGAAAAGCACTTGAAAATGACACAGGTGACGTGATTTTGGCTAAAAAGTTCATGGTCACAAATTAAAGACAACTGATAACACTTTTAGTAGTAAAAAAAAAAACAATCGGAGTGGGACTTTAAAGTGCTGTAGAGTTTAAAACAACGACTACTGAAAGATCTGAATTCTCTACAAGAGGTTGTGCTCTGATATGTGTGTTAACAGCTGTCCGGTGCATCGAAAACAATCCGGGTGAATGACTTCAGTCTGCATTCTGTTGGTGGATGTCTACTGCCTGTGTTACCGCCTCATTGACGTGTAATGGCTGACCTGGCATGTGTTCTAGGACAGATGTATAGCGTTGATTAGCATCAATGACTTCCTGCTGCCCGCTCATTCAACCAAGCATGACTCAACCTGTGTTATCTTATGGAAGGATGAAAGACCGGTAGGGCAATGCTAAGCCCAGACAGTGATACAGGACAAGGGAGGAGGGGTTGTAAAAAAAGAAAGAAAAAGGAGGGAGGGGGGTGACATGAAGCGGGAGCGGCAACCTGAGATGAAACTTGAACAGGTTGGACTTCTGAGCCGCTCAGACTTTGTTTGTAGGGTTAAAGACTGGCTGGTCTAGTCTGAACAGGGTTGGGTTTTAGTCCGTCCATGATCAGTGCAGCTAGGTATCACATTTGGCCGGCTTTGAGTCCAACAGTTTAGTTAGCAGCTTTGGGTTCTGATAAGCATCATTTTTCTGTACGGTGCCAGAGGTTGCAAAGTCATCCAATTAGCAGCAGAATCGCCAGCTCAGCAATCTGCCACCCAGCCCCGTGTTACACAAGAGGCTGGCTGGCTGGCTCGAGAGCTGTAATCTCTTTTTACTCTCTAGACCTGGGAACCCCAGGGAGCACAAAGGAGGCACGGCAGAACATATCGTAAAGCCTTTATCACTGCTGGGCATCAGTCCCCCCCCCCCCCACCCCCCCCCACTCCCCACTCCACGCCCCACACACACAAGCGTTATCTGAGATTTGAACTTCCTGGGCACAAGTCCACACATAGTCGAGGTAAAAGGTAATGGTGGCTGGCGTTGGAAGCAGCTCCGCTTGTGAATTTCAATTGAGAACGCCGAGCAAAGAATGTAGGATTGGTATAAACAAAACGCTTATAATACTCGAGAGGATGGCAGTGTTATATCACAGGTCAGGGCTGCTCGGTTGGCTGAGGCTGATTCACTCGACTTAATATGTTAGAAGATAGACGGAAAATTCATCAGCCCTGGTTTTAATAGCCAAGTAATAATTCTAATGCTACAATGACATGAACTTACTCTCCTTTCTTTCTTTCGCAAATATTTGCTTGTTTACTCGGCCCTGTATTATATCACAGTGGGTATTTTTGGATGTTGGAGCGACTTAAAGAGCCTCTCTCCTTTTTTTTGTTTTTGTGCAGCAGTGTCTTTCTCTATTTCTTAACATTTTCTGGACCAGACAGCAGATGGAGAAAACCAGCAGCAGATTCATACATCTCTGATAAGTGGATTCTGTGACTCAACACATTCCCCTCACCTCGCCTCACCTCGCCTCACTTAGAGCATTGACAGTGTCCGTCTGCTAGTAAATACTTGAGACTTTTTTCCCTGTGATTGTCAGCTACAGCAGGTGATAGGAGAGTTTCATCTCCCTAGTGCCCGTGCTGCTCTCTCTTTCTTTCCTTCCTGCTGTCCTCTCTTGCCTCCTTTTTCTCTTCTGGTATCTTCTGTATTCTGCCGGTGTTGTTGTGTAATGCCTCTCTTCAACTCAGGCAGGCAGCTTCTTCTGTATTCCTGTTGCATCGTTCTGCTGCTGGACTGCTGCGTGAGTGTGAGTGTGTGTGTGTTAGTGTGTGTGTGTTGGTGTGTGTCTGCGGAGGGGGGCGGAGAGAGAGAGAGAAAGAGAGAGAGTATGTTTTGCCTGTGAGTGTGTGTAAGTGTGTGTGTTTGTGTGAGCACACGTGTGTGTATCAGTCTTGCAGTCCTCTGTTGCTAAGGCAACGCCAGGCACATGGCTCAGGCAGCTTCGCGGCCCAACACTGCCAGAGTCGTGCTGCAGGAAGCATCTTCCTCTCTGTAGTGGAGAAATGCACACACACACACACACACACACACACACACACACACACACACACACTATCCTCTATGTAATATAGTCAGACAGGCACATGGAGCGACTCTGAAACACAGTCTAATAAATTCTTTCATCCTCTCATTTCTCGCCGTTTTCCCTCCCTGACTTGCTGACACACTGTGTGCTGTCTCAGTGCTTCATTTGAGGCCTGATCTTAATTAGTTCAACCTCACTCTTCAGAGGTACCTGTTGATTCCCGAGGTACAGAAGCAGTTTCCTCTTCACAGTGAAAATGGTTCAGTCTAGTGGTCAGCTGATGATGTTTTTCAAGCTGATGCTAAAGATCAGAGAGCAGGATGGCTGACTGCCGGTATAGAAAGCCAATAGAGTACAACAATTGTTTAAAAATAGCCATAATTTCTTGCACGTTACAATCAAATATACTTATCAGGGTCATAAACATGTTTCAGAAAGATTTTTGATTCATTCACAAATCGAAAAATTCTATTAGGTTACATTTTTATTGCAACCTCAACCATTTTCCGTATCGTATTGTATCTTGGATCATTTATAGATATAGATAGATAGATAGATTAGATAGATAAATAGATAGACTTTATTGATCCCAAACTGGGAAATTCCCATGTTACAGCAGTAATAAAAACACAAATAAAATTAAATATAAAAAGAAGTATGTACAATACAGACTAAATATATACAATAAATACAGACTAAATATACTAAACATCCTTAGAGAAAAAAGTGAGATATGAAAAAAAGTCGGCTATCCACTAGTAGTACTAATATGAAATGAGTAATAAATGTGAAATGCAAAATATACAGATGGAATAGTAAATAAACAAACAATTTAAGGTGCTCAGTAATGTGTTGTGGTTATTGTTCTGCTACTGCTGCCAAAAATCACATTCCAGGTTTGCATACTTGACATTTTCTCTCCTTTTAAAGCACTTGTTAAATTCAAAATAGATCTATAATGACCCTTATTATAAATGCCCCCTTAATCTTGCAACTGGAAATAAGCTTGGTAGATTCTATGCCTTAACTGGAATGCTAGTCTACATCAAATAATGTTGAACGGTAAATTTCTGAGCTTGCAATGTTGTTTCAAAACTGTTGTATTCATAACTGGCTGCATGATTAAATTGTATTTTTCATGGACAGATTTTCTGTGAACTTTGACACTGTTTGCCACCATCTGCTTTTGTTTACGTTGCTTTAATCTTTTAACCTCTGGGGCATAAATACTATGAAGTACTAATAGGACCCTGCAAAAGCCAACCAAATGTTTGTTTCATGTCTGTTAGTTATAGTAGCTTTCGATGTTTTTACACCCAAGGGTTTCATGCTGACAAAAGAGTTGGAGAAATATGATTTGTGTGTGAAAATACAGTTTTACTTTATGTGTTCATTAAAGACTGTACAATAGTCAACCTGATACCTGAAACTTAAAAATGGGACGTGACACTATCACGGGGTTATGAATTCATATTCAAGCTTTTAGAGTGCCCCACTGACACCCAGCAACTTCCGTTTCCTTATCAGGTTACTTTAAGATCTGATGGTGTTTTTCTTTGTGCTCTTCAGGCCTGAGGGGAAAATACTTTGCCACAAAACTTGGAAAACAGATCAGAAAAGTGTGTTCTTAAAATCTGATTTCTGTGTAAACGAGTTAACTGGTTTAAGTAGGTTTCATTAATTGTTTGCCTTTAGGTGGCGAAGTTCCACAAGCAAATCTTTTTTGTGCGTCATTTCAAGACACACACACTAAAAAAAGAAAACTTGAAGATCCTTCTTCATTTCTAACATTTCCTGTTTTGATTCAATGTTGAAATATTTAAGTCATCCTCTAAAACTTTCTCTTCTCTCTTTTTTCTCTTCACCTTCAGGTTGTCGGTTGTTTGGGGAAGGGGATACACCTGAGGATGGATTACCGGTAAGTGAGAACAAACTTTAGGGGGTTTTGATGAGAGTTTTTCTGTGTTCACGTGAACACATGGTGTTTTTCTTCAGACTGTGATTGCTAAAAATAAACCTGACTACACAGAAACACCACTGGTTACTTTTTAATTAGTCATCGTTGTGTTGCAGAGGAGGAAATTGATCGATGTCATGTCAAAGTGAAACTGGTGTGGGTTTCAAAAGGAAAGATTTATCGCTGAACTCTCCTGCCTTATTAAATAGGAGGCAGGTCATAGCTAGAACCTGAGCCATATGTCTGATGTGTCCCACCCAGGCGCTGACACCTGCCTTTGTTTTCTCACAGTTGTTCTTGGAGATTTACAGGTGTTTAAACCAGTGCCAGCCAGACCCTGAGGTGAAGCTGGGTGTTGGCCAGCTAATGTGCCAGAGCAGGCTTAGCTGTCTCTATCAATCTAACTTGGTAGCTGTCACTCTTCTTACAGTTGTGGCCAATAAAATAATCATTGCCTCGGGGGCTGTTTGTTCAAAAGGCGGCTTGGTGCGATATTTTGTGTTTTTGACGCCCTCCAAACTGAATGTGTCTCCTCATGAGCTGGGCTTCTTTTTTTTCCTGACAGGTTGAGAACTGTTAAGGCGCATTATGTTATGATTAGTCATATTTGCTCTATTTCCTGGCAGTATCATTCACAATTAACATTTGTGGTTAAAAGTGCCTGCTTCTCTTAAGCAGCTGAGAGCAGCAAGCAATATATAGTTCAGGTCTACACACCTATGTTTGTTTGTTTAAGATAGCAGAGTTGTCACAGAAACGTCAATCACCTGTTCTGGTTGTAAAGTAGGTGAAACGACACCTTTAAGGAGGACGGGCAGTTCTTGTTAAGGTCACTTGCACTGAATGATGAGAAAACAAGAAACCACTGCACCGACAGTGGATTCCAGTCCACGCATCAGGCCTGGAATAGATGCTTCCTTTGTGAAGAGTTTGATGAACTACTGTTGACACTGTCAGAGAGGTGTGTATTCAGCGATGGTCATTTTTCACACTGTGGCTTGTAGTGTAAACCAGGATGCAACTTGAAACATAGAAGATTATTGCAATGGCTGAAAGGTTTGATTTTTATTCACTGTATAAAGAGATGAATGGCACACCCCCACCTTAGCCTGCGAAACAAAAGTGAAGTCAAAATGAAGCTACAAATTCTGCTAGCAAACATAAAAACACTTTGACCTGTCAAAAATGGAGGAAATTCCTCAGGACCGCACGGTTGGGTCCGTTCAGAGGGGACACTCGGCTAGAGACAGTTTAAAGACTCTGAAGCTAGTTTTTGTTAAATATTTTTTTTTCATGTTTCTTCCTTTTCTCGTTGAATCTGGTGCACACAGAGCTGTCAGTCATGGTGTTAACATGACAGTATATATGACCTGCAGGACGTGATATTGTCACTACTTCCTTGTTGTCCAAGATTAACCTGTGAGTAAGGTGACCATATTCTGACTTCCCGAAAAGAGGACACGACTACACGGGGGTGGAGTCACGTAGTCACATGAAATTAATTTGAGAGTTTTTCGGGTCAGATCGAGTATCTTAGATGCGCTTCTAATTCAGTGAGCCTAGGTGACACAAAATCGAAACTCGAAAGGTACAGAACTGTGACATTTGAAGGATGTTATGAACTTTCCCTGACAAAGCCGGACAAACCTGGACAGCCCGGACACCCCCCTAAAAAGAGGACATGTCCGGGTAAAGTCACCGAGTCGCAGGAAGTTAATTTTGAGAGTTTTTCGGGTTGGATCGAGTGTCTTTTACGCGCTTCTAACTCAGTAAATCCACGTGACACAGAATTGAAACTTGCGTACAAAATCGCGGACATTTCAAAGGACTTTTTAAACTTCCCTGGACAAAGCTGGACAAACCTGGACAGCCCCCAAAAAGAGGACATGTCCGGGTAAAAGAAGACATACGGTCACCCTACCTGTGAGTCACTGCAGCCCCTCATTGAAACACATAAAGAAAGTAGCCCAACTTTATACTGCAGCGAGTCTGTAGAGGGAGCTCAAAATGTGTTGTCTTCACTTCTGGGGAGCTGTCATGTCATCCACCCTTTAAAACACTCCGCGCTTGTCATCACCTCTGACCCACCTGACGTCTTAAATCCTGCATGTTGGTGAAGTGGAAGAAGAGTGTAGGAGCGACAGCTGCCTTCCTCTTCCTGTGGCGAAGTTCCTCTTTAAGGAATCAGTCTGAACATACAGGAAATCCAATGGCACCACTGTTGCTAGGCAGCAGCGGGGGGTGCATCTAGAGGTGGGTAGAAGAGGGTGTTCACAAAGTTCAGTGAGTGAGCCACCGAGGGTGTCACCATGGTGATTTGGCATCCGAATGTTGCGGTCGGAGACCTGGGCTACATAGAAAGAGAAGTGAAGCAGCAGAGAACTAGCAAATACCACCGCACAAAAAGGTGTGATAGACTCTCTCTATCATAGAGTCACAACCGCAGCCCCCTCAGAAACAGGAGACCTTTACCTTTTTGAGATTCTTGCGTCTCATCAGCATGTAAGGTCACCATCAAGCCTTGTTAGGATTCAGACATCTTTGATAAAGGAATTCACGTCAGCCTCGCATTGCTGAAAACATCGGTGTGTGCTCAAGCTCGCCTGCTCTCAAGCCTGTGTGTGTGCACGTCTGCATGTGTGTGTGTGTGTCATTGTACGTGCACTCAAGATGGACCTCTTCACCCACATCCTGCCCACCGAGGCTCAACACCCTCTTGTTTGCCCTTCACAAGCTCACCACATTCTTCCTCTCACTCAGAAACACACACACACTCACAAACATGACATGCACATGCAACTCATTTCACCCATATAAAAAGACGTGGTTGCACAAACGCCCCACTCAGCTGTGATGACCCACTGCCAAGAATTATACCGTACCACCACAGTCCTTCCGCAAGTACAAAGTGGATGTTTTATTTTTTTCCCTGAATGCCACAAGAAAACATCCGCATCTAATTTAGCACTGACAGGAAGTTTTCTCTTATCAGTTTAGTGCACCAGGGTTTTGTTGACCAGAGGACTTGAACAGCCTCACTTACAGAACAGAAACACACAGGCTGCTTTGTTGTGTGCTAATATACTTTATATTTATACGCTAATAAAAGAAACAAGAGGAGAGGGGGTGAAATCAAACTGTTCGGTTCAGCAGTGCTTCTTGGAGGGTTGAGCCAAGACAGCTGTTTTGCCATGTTTCTAGTTTTCATTGTAGCTACACATGTAATGCTTTACATATAGAAGAATGCGGTCATTGTTTTTCTCAATTCATACAGAGCAGCAACATTAAAAGCACATTTCTGAAGTTATGCAACTGTTCTTTCAATCTTACCGACACCATGAAGTCTGTGAAGTTCCAGTGAGACTTACTAAACCTGTGAGGGCCAAGCAAACCAGTGCTCCTGTTTCTATGTTTCATGCTAAGCTAGAGTGGAGTGTCTCAGGAGTCCTGGTAATGAAGCTAACGGACGTATATATACTTTAAACAGAGAGGAAGAGTAGATAAAGCAGGAAATCAAGACAGAGAAAGAAAAAGAGAGAGAGAGAGAGAGAGAGGAGGGATATGCCAGAAGGGGCTGCAGACAGGACTGTAACCTCTGTACATGAGGTGTCCCAAAAACGACACACACCACGTTCCTCAACTTGGCAACTCATTCGCTGAAGAGGCCCACAAGAAGAAGCCTTAAACCCTTTGTGGCTCTTGGGACAAAGTCGGTGAACACCATTCAGGATTTGGCTCACTTAAGCCAAGCCCTATTTCTGAAGTGTGATAAAAACATGTAAACAGACATGAACCATCGAACGCCTGCACATGCTCGTCATCTTTGCTCTCGTCCTCTGTGTGTGGCTGCGCTCCAGCATGTTCTGTGTGTTTTCAGTATGTAGGTTGACCCCAGATCTCCCTGTCCTCAGCCCCAGCACCTTTGAGGGCGGAAGTGCATGGGTCCCTGATGTCGGTTTGGTGCCCCAGGTTGCTCCTCTCCTCTCCTCTCCTCTCCTCTCTCCTCTCTCCTGGGTCAGCTCAGCTTCAGATTGGCCCCCACGCATGCCTTTGAATGGTGGGGCTTAGGCAAGCGCTTTAAAAGGAAGCCCAAGTCTGTTTCCCATTTCAGCCCCCCACCACCCCACCCCTCACTCCTTTCTTTCTTTCTCTCACATACACACACAGCTGTCATCTGGCTTTTTAAGTTCTGTGCTGCATTTCTCCAGCTGGAGCTGCTTTATGACATTCCCTCGGCAGACTCTTTGGCCTCTCTCTCTCTCTCTCTCTTTCTCTCTCTCTCACACACACACACACGACTACAACACAAAGTCATTTTTTCCTGTTCTGTTCTTTCTCCTCTCTTCCCTCACTGTCTCCTGTTCCTCACATTCTCCTCTAGATGTGTGTTACACTACTCTGAATGTTTGGAGGCACACACACACACACACACACACACACACACACACACACACACACACACACACACACACACACACACACACACACACACACACCATGTGTTAGCAGTCTTGGGTTTGAGGGGGGGCAAGGAAAGGAGAGAGAGGGAAAAAAAGAGAAAGAGGGAAAAAAAGAAGTCAAAGGAAGCATCTCTTAGCAACCACAGGACAGTAATTACTGTAGCAGCAGCTGGGAGCAAACCAGATTTCCGCTGTGCGTTAAAGCACTGGCGTGGGCTACTTTACACACGGCACTGACTAACCAGAGCCAGCAGCCTCCTCCACACGCAGAGCAGAGAGAGAGAGAGAGAGAGAGAGAGAGGGAGGAAGAAGGAGAAGAGAGGAAGACTAACCCTGCCTTGATAAGTCGGGGTGTGTGTGGGAAAAGAGGGACAGCTAGCCAGTGTGTACAAGGCTGGAATATGTTTGGATCGAAACCTCTATGTGTGAAAAAAAAATCAGGCCTGTCCGTGTTTGTTGTTTGTGGTTTTAGTGAGACATAACTTGAATGATTTTGAAACACGTTTTCCTGCATTCATAAGCACAACTCAAACTTCAACACTTCAAACTTAATAAATCATCATTACATTTTATATGCTGCGTTTGTGAGATATTGAAACTGTTGCAACTCTTGGTGTCACTGCTGACTTTTCCTCGTCACGTCTACACACATAAATCATGAATCGCTTTGACTTGAGTTTTCTGTTGCCACGACTACTAAAATGTAGGTGTTTTTCCACTTGATGCATCTATGAAATCAGCACATAGTCGTATTTCCTGCTCATGTTTTTATGTATATCTATATATGATGCTGGCCTCTGCATACACAAGATGTTATTTATAGACGTCTCATTCTGTTTGAAACCAACACCAAGCTTCCCATTTCAAATTTTGAGATGAGATAAATAACCACCCGCGTGCTCTCTGCCTGCTTCTTTTATTTTTTTTATTTTTTTAGACAGGCCATGTTTGCAGATTTTGCATCAGTTAAAATGTTTGTGGGAACAGAAGCAAGGCTGATGGGAACTGTGAGTTCTTAACAGAAGGGCCTTGAGTCATCACCACACAGCACAGTCATTTGGACAGAGTGTGGGTGCAGGTCGCCCTCTGATGGATACAAGATGAACAGACACAGCCTACACACCCTGAGTCAAAACAGCTGTGGTCAGAAAACTGAATTGACCAAAACTATCAGGATTTCTGAGTGTAACAGTGGCATGAAATAAGAGAATGGCAGACGCTGAGTGCTACAACTGCTAATTTTAATTTCATTAGATTTAAAGGAGAAGAATAGTTGATTTTCACTGTCGATAAGTGATACAAAGTACTTCCCATATCCCCTAAAATACCAATCAATGTCATATTTTCCACCACCTACACCCACTACAGCTTCAACAAGAAGAATCAACACCTGTTTGACCATGTTGATAAAACTTAAAAATACAACTCTGTAAAAGTCAAGTTGATGTCGGTGCGTAGGTCACACCCTTCTTCTCCATCAAACTTACCTTCTTGTTTCTGTCTTTCCTCAGGCGTGTGATGAGCCTCCCTCCATCTGCACCCCGATGAAAGAGCCCTTCTCTCCTCTGAACAACGTCGTCTCCACCGAGCCGTTCAGAGGCTGCTACGTCCGCGCGCAACCCTTCGACGAGTTCCCTTCGAGCAACCGCCGCTACCTGCCTCCACAGGTCTGAAGGATAAGTCAGACATGATCAGCGTTTGGTTATTGTGGCAGTACAAAGTCCTGAGTACATTTACTCCCGGTGTGTATTTACTACAACTGATTCCCACTTTCTTTTCCTTTTGAAGGTCTCCTTTAAATCGTCTCGCCATGTCAGTTTTCGTATGGATGAAGAGGAGATCGTTCGCATCAACCCACGCAAAGACGTGCTCATCCGAGGCTATGAGGACTACCGCCACCCTGTCATGTGGAAACAGGAGGCTGACCGCGAGGACCTGGACTTTCCCTCCACTTTCCACAAACTGGACAGTAAGAAGTGTGAGTACCTCTTCCCTGACGGCCCTGGTGGGGACTCCCACTCTGGCCCTGGAATGGGCATTGGAACAGGAATGGGGCTGGGTCTGGGCAAAGACTCGGCCATCAAAACTCAGCCTTCACCCGTGCTTAAGTCCAAGAAGGGCAGGCGGCGACGAGAGGACGGCGAGCGTTCGCGTTGCATTTACTGTCGAGAGATGTTCAACCACGAAGACAACTGGCGGGGGCAGTGCCAAGACGCCCCCGACCCCATCAAGCAGTGCATCTACAAAGTCAGCTGCATGCTGTGTGCCGAGAGCATGCTGTACCACTGCATGTCAGACTCCGAGGGCGACTTCTCGGACCCCTGCTCATGTGACACATCTGACGAGCAGTTCTGCCTGCGCTGGCTGGCCCTGGTGGCGCTTTCTTTCATTGCGCCCTGCATGTGCTGCTACCTGCCTCTGCGCGCCTGCCACCACTGTGGCGAGGCTTGCCGCTGCTGCGGAGGCAAGCACAAGGCTGCGGGGTGACCCGACGCCGGACTCTGGGACACCCTCAAAGCTAGCTAACACAGGAAGTGGATACAAGCGGAAAATTAAAAAGCCGGCATCCTTTTTTCATTCCCTCTCAGACGGGGTGAAATGTTGTTGATCCCCAGCTCTGAGGGCTTTTGGAGATTTCAGTTTGCGTTTGTCGCCGACAAGCAGCAGCGGAGGACAAACCATATGCTTTGTGGGGGCTCTGAGCAACAAGCTAAGTTCAGGAGCTTAATCTGAGGAGAAGGGGAGTCAAGATAAATAGACTTGGAGATGTTACTAAACACACCTGTACACACATACACACACCACTCTTTCACTGTCACACTCATGCATTGACAAAGCCAGGCCACAAATGTCAGAACTGTACTACAAGTCATGTGTAACTTTATGAAGGAAAATTGTGTTTTGTACAGAGAGCGACAACTTAACCACGACACAAAAAAGAAAAACAAACTATTCGCATTCAGAAAATTCTTGCTGTTTGAGTATGCTAAAAGGGATATGTTCTTGCTTTTTTTGTGATTTTTGCAGTTGGGTAACAGTGGCCTTTCCTTCATGGCTTAAGTATTTGCTGACAATGTAATTACTAGACAGAGAAAAGTGCACTCAAATGGTTCTTTTCCCCCCCAGGAGTAAAGTAACCTCTCTCAAATTCTTGTGGTGCTTCGACCACCACATGAAGTGTAATTTAAACATTTGAAAGATGTTGTTGAGGTGGATGTATGGCCAATTCCTTTTTTTTCCTTTCCGTTGAATGTTGAAAAGAAAATCACAAAGTAACAGCTTGATTTTGAAGGTACAGCCTGGTATAGTTATTGACATTAATTTTGAGTTTGTTCAAACTGCATTCCAAAGTAAAGGGATTTATTCCATGATTACAAGGGAAAAATGTGTCACGCTGAATTCCCCCAAATATTTTCCACATCATGAAAATAGCATTAGTACTTCTGGACCATTGAAACCGAGACAAATACGATTACATTACCCCCAGAGAATTTGATTTTTAGCTCAGTTATTTACTGCTGTAGTGAAATTGGTGTATTTGTTTCTTCATCGTTATTTTCCTGCTCATTTTTATAATTATTAAGAAAAAAAAGAATGAAATGTTGCTCAACCAGCAAGTTTTGTTTTGGTGAGTGAAGGAGTCACAATGCTCCTTGGTTTAATGATGAGGCACTTAAATTAGGCTGGACTTCGAATGAGAAACCCTCAGATTTAAAGTCAGTCCCTACAGAAATTGGACTTAATTTAGCATCCAGTTTGGCATGGAAACAAAAACACTTCAAAGCACTGCTCTCCAAGCTTTGGTTGCTGCACCCTCTCCAAATTTCTGTTTGTCCCATGACTCAGTTATTTTCTTGATGTTTTTTTCCTTTCATATCTTGTGTAAATGTAGTTTTTTTTTTTTTTTTGCTTTTGCTGAAAAGTCCACTCCTTCCTTTTGTCTTCATGTAACAGGCCCTGAATGAACGAGTGAATGATGCATTGTGTGGGAAAAGCTAAGTATCTTAGCTTTTATTAGGTACACAGATGTTATGTATGTGTATGAGCGTGTGTGTGTGTGTGTGTGTTTGAGTGCGTGTGTGTGTGCATGCATATATCTTAATATGCACTGTAATTGATGTCATTTGATGTTACCACTGACTTTATGATTAAGGCTTTGACTCCTAACAGTTTAGATGTCCTGTTTCCCAAAGAGTGATCAAAAGGAGGATTAGTTTTAAAGGAGTAGTTTGATGTTTTGGAAAATTCATTTCAATTGTTTTGATTTGTTGAAGTAAAAGTATAGAAAGAATTTGACACATTCGTCTGGAGATGGTGGAAAAGCTGATCGATATGACATGTCACATGATGAGCTTTAACAGCGTCTGCAGGTGATCTCTGTTACCTTCAGAATGGCGCTGTTTTAATCGTTTCCAGTGTTAATGCCAAGCTAAACTAAACTAACAGGTGCTTTGGATTAAACGCATAGATCTAAAGGTGGCAGTAATCTCAACAAATGATCCTGAAGTGTCAAACTACTCCTTTACAATCCTTTAGGAAACAGGAACTAGGCAGTGTGTACACCCAAGTCTAAAAATGTCCAATTGAACCCCAAACATAGAACTATTTCTCAGTCCAAACTCCTCAGAGTAACAAAAGTCCAACCTGGATGTTTGGCTGCATAACTGAAATAACCCCTCGTGTTTTGAAACTACCGCTTATTGTGATTCCCTTTCATAGCAGATTTGGTACCCTCTGCTAATGGATACTCAAACAGACACTAATCTGTCCTCATCTCCAGGCACTCCTGATAAAGAAAAAAATAACCAACTTACACAACTTGAGATCACAGAAGAAATTTTCCCAACTCCTCCCCGACCGAGGCTCCTTTTACTTTCTATGCAAACCTTCTTACGTGGAAAACACATTGACCTCTTTGCAGACTGAGTCAGCGACAGGACGGCACACATTTTAGACGACAGACCCCTGGTACCAAACTCCAATGTAAATACTTAACACTATATTTAAGTTCTGATAATAATCCCTGCTTTTTTGTCTCTGAAATTTTAAAGATAGAGCTGTATTTATCGTTGCTGTCAGCATATACTGTAGCTTCAATTGACAGCATTATGTACATAGGTCACCTTTTAGTATTATTTCACATTGAAAAGTAGAGGGCGTTTGTGATGGAAATGACTATTGAGCTTCTAATAGAGTTTCTCTCTAGTTTTGTACGGTAGAAGGAAGAATAGTGCTAACACGGTACAGTAGTGGCAGTCCACTTGTTTCAAAAGTTTGATATATATAAATATATATATACATACATACGTACATATAAAGCTGCTAGATACAATCACTAATTTTATTGTGTTGACAGAGAAAATCAGCTATGAACGACTGTTAAACCCTAATTCTCCAACAGCTTATAACCATGATGGTGAGTTTTTAAAGGTTTGAATGCTCTGTGTGATGAAGAATGTGTACATGTGGGCGCGTGAGATTTACAATATATGTATGTTTTTGTGTGTGTGTGCGTGGGTACGCTATGTATGTGTGCGTGCGGGGTTGGTGTGTAACCAAATGTTTGGTTGCTTCTCATATTCTCCCATCGTAATTGGATTTTTCTGCATTATTGCAAGCTGAACCAAGGTTTGATGAACCTGATTAAAACTTGCTGGCTGAGAAGCAAAATGTAGGACGTGCATTTATACAAAGTGTAGAGAATGCTGAAATAACACTTCTCATTCTGCATTAACCAGCACAGTGCAACTTCCTGTCATGTACTGTATTATATATGCAACATGTGTCTGTCTGCTTTAATATATATATATTTTTTTGACCTGCATTACATAAGACTTCAGTTTTAACCACTTTGCTGCTAGTCTTTTATCCTCTTTCAATCTTGGAAAATTGTGCATATCTTTGGGAATGCATACAAGTGTACATTCTTGACATTGTGTAGATTAAAAAAAGAAAAAAGCTATATAAACCTGTTTCTCTTCAGTGTATTGTTTTAAAAAGGTTACTTTTCACAGCAGTTGAGTGGTTATGTTTCAATTTTCCGATGCTTTGGTGCACTGATGATACTATATGTAAGCTTTTTTTCATCTTACAGCGCTTGATGTAACATTTATGTGATTAGTTCTAAATAGTGGAAGACATTTGTGTTTTGAAACTTGCAGTATAAATGGTACTACTCTTAACTATTCTGTAAACACTGCCTGTTTTCTTTTTCTTTCACTCTCTCTTTGTGCATATTTCTTTCCTGTGCATCTTCTTTTTTTTTTTTCTTAGTGCCATCAGCTTTCACATCCTGACAACCTCAAAAAAGTGCCTCACGTCCATCCTAGTTTCCATTTTATAATTTAACGTCTCTCATTCTGATTTTATCGGTTTCTACACGTCTAGGTATTTCCTCTCATGGTTTGAGAATACCAAGTATATGATGTAAAATTTATAGTCCCAATAACTCATGTCATAGTTGTATTTTCTTTATACAGATGTAGCTCGTTACTTTTCATAAATATATAATGTAAATATGCATACATATGTTTGTAACTGTTTTTATGTTACATCATACACTTGTAATTTGACATATCAAATAACATTATCATAATAAAATGGTGAGTTTTAATCTTTTGCTGTGCGGCTTTCACTGTGTTTCATTTGAACAAGCAAGGATTAAAAAAATAAAAAGGTTGGACTTGATTAACGTGTATTTGGAGGTTTTGGTCTGTTTAACACAAAATCCAAAAAGGCTCTGCAGAACCGGGATGTCCTTTCTCTTCTATTCTTGTCATTTATTAAAAAGAGCACTTCACTGGAATGTAAATTCAACATTCACATTCCAGTACAATACATAAAGTTTCCAAAAGATGTTTTAGTCATCCCTTTTACAGTAAGAAGTAACATAACAGAGCGGCAGAGTGTCACTACTTAGACGAGGCTCTTTATCTGTTACACACCCATTGTAGTAACAGCGCTGTGTAATTAGGAAAAGAACCTGCACCCACATTTGCACTCATGGATGTCATTATTTTTTCTCCTAACAATATTTGATTACAACATTTGAAACATCAGTAATCCTGTGGACTTCCCAACAAACACATTTTCAGCACTATGAGCTTTTTTTCTGGATCTAAAATCACGATGATGAAAGACAGGAGACTTTACAAGCTTTCAATTTCTTCACAGACAAGTTTTTAGTTAGATAAATTTCATTGAGCCTTTGAAATAAATACATCATATGGAACATTAACTCTTGGATACATTCAATTATTTTTGTGATTTTGAAGAAACAATCGTATCCTGTCAAGATGTAAAATATTATGACGACTATAATAATAGTACTGTTATGAATAATACTGATACTACTAATAATACTACTACCATCAACAACAAGTACAATAATAATAACAATACTACTACTACTACTGCTACTACTACTACTACTCCTAATAACAATTATTATTATTATTACTATTATTATTATCATTATTATTTTATTATTATTATTCATTATTATTATTATTATTATTATTATTACACAACGACTACTACTACTACTACATCTGTTATGAATAATACTGATACAACTAATAATACAACTACTATCGGCAACAACACTAACAATAATAATAATAATAATAATACCTAATAATAATAATAATAATAATAATAATAATAATAATAATAATAATAATAATAATAATAATAAACGTTCTATGGTACCTATCACTCAAGTAAACTGACAACTGTTTGGAGTTTTTTTTAGACTATAGCGAACCAATGAAATAACCAGAAACATTCAAAGGAAACGCGCTTCCGGGTTTAACAGCCAATCGTGATAGAGAGCGGGGTTGTGAGTCAATCAGGCACTTCCTCCCTCTGAAGGCGACCTCTCAACTCTCCAGATGAAATAAATGAAAACACAACACATAATAGCAAGTAAAGAGAGTCATTTTAATACATTTCTGCTTCAACACACGCATTATACTCTTAAAATGCTGAGACCAATTGAGTGGAGTAGTACGGTAACAATTTCAATGACCAGCACGGAATGAAATTCACAAACTGCTCGTTTTTAACGTGGTGTTTTTTTTTGTTTTTTTTTTTTTTTTTTTTTTTTGGGGGGGGGGGGTAGAAATATTTGCAAGAAGGAAACTTACGATTTAAAATAGAAATATTTGCCAGAAGGCATTTGTTTTACTCCCAAGAAACAGTTTCTAATATCCTGGGATGTATGCTGTTGTTTTCTGCTCCAGTAGGTGGCGACAGTTGTCCTCCACGGGGATTGCGTCCCTTTATTCATTAAAATGACGACGAAGAAGGAAACGACGAAGAAGAAGTGAAGGCGAGCCCGCCAAACAAATTTGAGGGAAGAAAAGAGTGTCGAGTTATTTCATCCGTTTGTGCTGTGAAAAGGTATTTCTTGACACATAACAGTGGATATATGTGTCAACGATGACTTCCAGCGGAAAAGGTAGATGACCTAACTCTTATTTCCTCGGTTAGTTTGCGAATATAGTAAAAATGCAGAAACAGTAACTTTTTTACGCTCTCGTTTGGTTGTGGTTAAGCAGCACACAGGAGGAAAGACGAATTAAAGAAACGCAGCTTTGTTGTTTTGTTCACATTTAGATATAAGTTTTATTTAACTTTCTTAAGAGACTGTACGAGAAACAAGGGGAACTATGTTGCTAACTTTTAATTTTGTTGACAGGACTTGGCGATTCATCTCAGCTTGTTGCCAGGTAAGGTGGTGTCTCACCTTAAACACTACTCTGCCCAGCTTTACTCTTTACTTGTCTTTACTCGACAGTCTTTAGTTTCTAGAATAAAAAAGAACTTTAAAGTCGATTTTCAGTCCTTTTAAAAAGAAGTGCTCTGAGACTCAATGACTTATTTAATTTTTAAATTGATTAAAGCCCCACAACTGTATTTTACTTTAATCTGATTTATGATATGCTGATTTCTAGTTTTTGTTTGTTCTTTGATTTAGTTTTTCGATCTTTATAATTCGTAATATGTTCAACAGCTTAAAAGCTTCTTTGTTCATAAACAGTCTACCTATCAGTCTAGTTTATCAGTAGATTTACTCTTTTGACTGTCAAGTAAATTACTGTAGCGCCAATGAAATGCATCTTCATATCTTAACTCAACTCAGCTTTATTTGTAAAGCACTTTAAAACAACCACAGCTGAGCAAAGTGCTGTACATAAGTAGACAAAACAACACAGACATAAAAACATTTAAAAAAACAAAGAAAACAATGGATAAAATAAAAGCTGTTTAATATAGTTTCAAATTTTTTTTAAACTGATTTAAAAACATAGAAACAAATAACTAAAAACAAAGCATAAAACACTAAAACAGGAGCCTCATGCAGGATGGAAAGCCAATGAATAAAAATGGGTTTTAAGATGAGTTTTAAAAATGGACAGTGTGGGGGCTTGTCTGATTTGGAGGGGTAGCTCATTCCATAATTTTGGGGCCGCAGCAGAAAAAGGATCTATCCCCTCTGAGCTTCAGTTTGGACCTTGGTACCTCCAGGAGCAGCTGATCAGCTGACCTGAGGCACCGAGCAGGGGTGTAGGGGTGGAGAAGCTCAGAGAGGTAAGATGGAGCCACACCATTTAAAGATTTAAAAACAGGTAAAAGAATCTTAAAAAGAACTCTAAAATGCACAGGTAACCAGTGGAGGGACCATAAAATAATTATAAAATAAAATAAATAAAAATACAAATACCAAACCCCACCCAGCATTCATCACATACAGCACTCACACGCTCACACACAGACACACAAGACCAGGTGAGGGCTCGTTTTTAACTTTTTCTTTTTTGGTCCTACAGCGGTGACAGCGATTCAATCAAAGTTTTTGTCCGGGTAAGGCCTCTGACCCAGGGCACTGGACTCACCACAGATGGAGATCAGAAGCTGTGTCTCACTGTCACATCACCCAGCACCATCCGCCTGCTCTCAAAACCAGAACCACGAACCTTCACCTACGACCATGTAGCTGATATGGACACATCTCAGGTTTGAGACACAGTCTAATTGTTGTATTGTTCAGTGGGTCCTGATGGGTATTTGTCTGACTGTTTTCCAATCTTTGTCCCCAGGACTCAGTGTTCTCCAGTGTGGCCAAAAATATTGTTGAGTCATGCATGAACGGGTATAATGGTACAATATTCGCCTAGTAAGTGAACTTTGATGGATGTATTTTAGCGATATTATTTGACACCTATTGTAGTTGCTGATCAGATTCCTAATTTCCTTTTTCAGTGGACAAACAGGCTCAGGAAAAACATTCACCATGCTGGGTGAGACTTCATTGCATGAACCCTTGACCCTAACTTAATTTTATGCAAGAATATCCCCTTTAGGTAATTTTTAAAACTCTTTTTCTCTCTTTTGCTCCAGGGCCGTCAGAGTTGGATAACTTCACAGATGAACTAAGGGGTGTAATTCCTCGAAGTTTTGAATATCTGTTTTTTCTCATCAACAGAGAGGCGGAAAGGGTGAGTCGTGACATTTCATCTGTTTTAAGTGTTTGAAACAAAAAATATTGAATGCAGTTTTCTTATTAAACCAATGCATGTTTTTTTTTCCCTCCTAAAGTCTGCGAAGTCCAAGAGTTTCCTTTGCAAGTGTTCATTTATTGAGATATACAATGAACAAATCTACGACCTTCTAGACTCAGCATCAGCCAGCCTTTTTCTTCGAGAGAACATAAAGAAAGGGGTGTTTGTTGAAGGGGCTGTGGAGAAGTTTGTCAACTCAGCTGCTGAAGCATACCAGGTAAGAACACCTTACTGTCATGACTCAAGGACGCCGAGTACAACTTTGCTTTCTGTAACACATTTTTGACCAGTCCTAGAGGCTTTTATCTGTAAGTCTTGGATCTAGTGTTATCAAAACACAAAAAGATATTGTGCAATATAAAAGGATATCTTCAGATACATATTGATGGGACTGAACTGAAAGGATGTTTAAAACCACATAGGTGCTATCAATGGGCTGGCGTAACCGGCGAGTAGCTTCCACCTCCATGAACCGTGAGTCTTCCAGATCTCATGCAGTGTTCACCATGACCCTGGAATCCAAGGAGTCCATCAATGAAGTTGTGAACATCCGAATGTCTCAGCTGAACCTTGTAGATCTGGCAGGGTCTGAGAGGCAGAAGGACACTCACACAGAGGGTTCCAGACTCAAGGTGAATCTTCACTCATTAATAATCTGCTTCTTGAGGTTTATTTATGTTATGTAATGTTGCTAACAGCTTGTGTTTTCGATTTGACTCATTCAGGAGGCTAGCAGTATCAACCGATCCCTCATGTGCCTGGGTCAGGTGATCATGGCATTAGTTGATGTGTCCAATGGGAAGAACCGTCACATCTGCTACAGGGATTCAAAACTCACCTTCCTGCTTAAAGTGAGTGTACCCTCACATGCATATGTAGACTATGCTTTCGCAGAACGCAACCTGTTTATCTTGAAAAAACGAGATTACGCACTGTGCAAACTTCCTGTGTTACTGATTCTTCCATCAGGACTCTCTTGGTGGAAATGCAAAGACTTGCATCATCGCCAACGTTCACCCTGGGTCAAAGTGTTTTGGAGAAACCCTGTCCACCTTACAGTTTGCCCAGAGAGCTAAACTGATTAAGAACAAGGTACTTGTCATTAACACTGCTCTGTTTTACAAGAAAAGTCAAATGATGGTGGTTTCAGAACTGGAGCATTGCATCTAATTCCTGTGCATTTCCTGTGTCTTGTCAGGCTATTATCAATGAAGACACCCAGGGGAATGTGAGGCAGCTGCAAGCCGAGGTGAAGAAGCTGAAGGAGCAGCTTGCACAGGCTCTGGCATCTCAGGGAGCGGACTACGGGAGAGGTGTAGCACCTGGAGGGCCTGAACCCCCTATGGGTAATATTTGCACATGAGAAAATGAACAATCGGATAAAACTGTATTTTAGCACTTTAATGCCTGAAACCACAAATTATGGCCAGAAAATTAAAAATTTTTTTTGAGCTGAAATGTTTATTTCACTGACTACTGAAAACCAAAAAAATCAAAATGTCCTTAAAATTCAACAAATGTATTTATTTTTCTCATTTGATACATGAGATATTTTTTAAATGATAAACCACAAGAGGACATTTTTATCATTTATCAGACTGTATTCAGGTGTTTTTTAGGTAATTTGTTGATTGTATTGATTTGATAGAAATACCATAAAAGTATGTATTGAATATGATACACAAGGCATTAAATTGTTTGGATCATTTATTACTTTTGAAGTTGTGTTGAAAAAGTTTTCAGACGTTTTACAAAAGCGTTATTTTTCTCCATCTGAAGGACATCAGAATGGCTCATACAAAGCAAAGTTTATGGCAGCTGTTCGCCTGTGGAAGAAACGAGAAGAGGAAAAAAGGGTACGCACCTCTCTGATTCTTAAGTTCTTGTAATTTATGATGCTGTGAAGACATCATCTTGGTGTGAGGGGAGCTGACCGTGTTCTTTAACCACCACACTCAGATGCTAACAGTGAAGGTAGCTCGGCTTGAGGAGGCCTTGACACAGAAAGACAAGTTCATCCATTCCGGCCGGATGATAGTCAAGTTTCGAGAGGACCGCATCTCTCGTCTTGAGAAACAGTTGAAGGCAGAACACGGTTCACTGACAGACGAGGAGTCTCAGGCCGAGATCGATCGGATGAAAGAAGAAATCAAAATCTTGAGGGATCAGGTACAAAAACATGATCATTTGAACATAGACTAGATCCTAAATTACCATATAGTTACATATAAAGTGTGGATTTTGGAGTTATTTAAAAGAAAGTCCCGCATTTTTAGGTTGAGCATCACCCCAGCATGACCCGATACATCGCAGAGAACTTCAGTCTCAGAGAGGAAAACCGTCAGCTCCGTTCTCTTGGATCGGTGGCGAAAGCTGAAGAGGCTGTAGGTCAGGTGGCAGCTGAAATGGAGGAAGCCTTCCAAAAAGCTATGGAGTCAGAGAGCCACACAGAGAGTAAGATAAGAAACAGCATCACTCAAGAAAATATGAAGCAAATGCACCGCGTCATGTATCCTTTTTTTTTTTACGTTTCTCCACACAGAGTCAGCAGCCTCTGCGACTGTTTTAGCTGCTGCAAATGAGAAGCTGACGGCTGATCTGCTCCAGAAACGGTCCGATCTCAATGCTGCTCTTCATGCCTTTGAGGAGTACAGAGAAGTCACCAAGTAAGCAAAATAAAAAAAAAAAAACAACAAAACCTTTTTTAGCAGCCCTCCAATTCTATAAAAACAACAAGTAACCGTTGCTTCAGGTGGTGAATATAGTCAAAAGGGTGGCAGGATTATAGATTATTACGCCACTATTCCGCTATTTCAATTTACGTAGCATATTCATACTATTCATCCGTTAATAATTTTCACATTCAACTTCTGCTTCATCTTCTTTACCCCTTTAACAGCTCTAACAGTTTTTACATAAATACCTTCCTCCATTTTTTTTTTTTTTGCAGTTTTGCTTTTTCAGCTTTTAGCATTTCCACGCATTTTCTGCGAGGAAATGCAATTTTCTAGTTTACTGTTGTAATCTTTTTTCAGAGCTCAATGTCATTCGTTCTTTTGATGCTCTGTGTTTTAGGAAACAGTTGTCTCAGCTGGACGCTGAGAAAAGATACCTGGAGAAGTCAATCAGGCATTTGGAAAACATTTTGGAAGCCACAAATTCTTACAAAAAGCAGGAGGTCTCTGAGCTGAACAGGATTCATGTTGAAACTATAAAGGTCAGTACTGGTACAAATAAGGATTTTGAGTACTGAGAGGCCAATCGAAGAACTTCACTTCAATTTAAATGCAGTTGTTGCCTTGCAGATTCTCTTAATGTTTTCTTGTCTCATTCAAATATCTAAACCAGATCCTCACCACGCCCAGCAAATCATACAACTTGCGATCTCGCCTCGTGACTCTTTCGACACCAGAACACCTGAGCGGGACAGATGACGGTGGCGATGACATTTTTTCCGAGCCGCCTCCTTCAGACATGGCAGCGATGGCCTTGACGGAGGAACTGCGGCAAGTGCAGGTAACAGCGAGGGGACCGTCAAAATATCACAAAAGAAAAACAACAAATCCTACCTTTGTGTCTCACTCTTTGTTTCATCAGGAGCAAACGAGCCGTGTGCAGTCGCAGCTGGATGAGGAGGAGCTGAAGAGCAGCAAGTTCCTGCAGCAGATCGCCAAACTTGAGGAACAGATCGCTGTGATGTCACAGGAGTCTGAACGCAAAGAGGAGGTACACTGTCCCAACATTTCTCACGTTCAGCTGCGTATTTTGAAAAGTTCTGTTTAACCTCACGCTCTTGTGACGCTTTCCTAATTGTCCTTTAAACGAATTAAGCTACTTGCTGCTGAGCGAGTGAACAAGACCAGAGATCAGCTCAACCTACAAGAAACTGTCAAGGAGCTGCAGCAGAGCCTTCAGTCTGAGCAGCAGGCTGCAGAGGGTAGGCTTCTCATGTTTCTCCTGATGTGTCATTATCGCCTTATTTCTCCCTGGACTTAAACATGTTTTTATCAATTATAGGGATATTCCGGCGTCAAATTAACTTAGGCTCAAACACACCGTAACACTGAGTTAGACACCCCCTTCAGAGATGAATGTTGATGACCGCTTGCTTCTCTAGTTCTACCAACTTTAGTAATGACCGCACGCTAGCAATACACAGTGGTCAGAGTAGCCGTAAACAAACCTCAACCAAAACGCCACTCTATAGTGACAAATAATGCTCAGAACAGCACCTAACTTCATCAACAGTACATAAAGGGTCCTAGCTACAGCTCTAGTCACCAAACATCTTTTTAACTTTGCCTAATTTCTTTAGAAAAGAGACTAAACACAACTCACCTACTCTCTTCCAGCAGTCGCTTGTTTGTAGCAAGACCTTAGGCTAGTACATTACGGACTACAGCGGGGTGACGCAGCTCAAGGAAGAACATTTATGATCATTTCTTCATGGAAATGCAATCAGACTGAGACGCTAAGGCAGAAGAACTACCACGTCTGCAGTGCAAAATTATTAATATGATGATTATTACTTCAAAGAAATGATAAAGTAATGATCATAAATGTTCTTCCTTGAGCTGCGTCACCCCGCCCGGAGGTCTCGCTACAAACAAGCGGCTGCTGGAGGAGAGTCGGTGAGTTGTGTTTAGTCTCTTTGCCAAACAAATCAGGCAAAGCTAAAAAGATGTTTGGTGTCTAGTGCTGTGGCTGGGACCCTACATGTACTGTTGATGAAGTTAGGTGCTGTTCTGAGCATCATTTGTGGCTATACAGTGGCGTTTTGGTTGAGGTTTGTTTACGGTTACTCTGACCGCTGTGTATTGCTATCGTGCGGTCGTTACTAAAGTTGGTAGAACTAGAGAAGCAAGCGGTCGGCAACATTTATCTCTCGAGGGGGTGTTTAACTCAGTGTTATGGTATGTTTGACCATAAATTAGTTTTACGCCGGATTATCCCTTTAAACAGTTTTTATCAATTAAGCTCAGTGCAGTTCCCTAAAAGGCGGGCAGGAAAAAGAAAATCTGTTGATTTCTCCCTGATGTTTTCAGCCTAAGAAAGGTTAAATACAAAGTTTTCTTACCAGCATTTTTCTAATATGTTGATCTTTGATGAGTTCATGACAATAGTTATTCCCTCCACGAGAGAAAATAATTGGTGTTGAGTTGAAAGAAAAATAAATCTTCTCTTCCCCTCGCCTTCCTCTCAGGAAAAAAAAAAAATGCTTAGGTGACAAGTCTTTCCTTCTTCTCCCCTTCCCAGTGCTGAGAAGTGAAATCTCTGATCTGCGTGTGGTGCTGCAGTCGTCCGATAAGGAGCTGGCGCACGTGAAGACTGAACTCAAAGACTGCCAGAGCGAACAGCAGAAAGAGATGAGCCAGTTCTCCAACACTCTGATCAGCTCACAGCTACAACTTGACAAAGTCCGGTAAGCATGAGTTTTTTCAACATCTGCATCGTGACTCTTGCTTTGATGATTATATCCCCACAACTTTTATTTTCCTGATTCCAGGCTGGAGTGGGAGCAGCTTCTGGAGCAGCATCGCGTTCTGCAGGATTCATTCGACCAGCTGCAGGCCGAAGCAAAGTTTGAGGCTGATCAGTCGAGGCAGCAGCTGCAGGACAGGCAGCAAGAGATCGACAAACTCAACATACAGCTCACAGTGAGTGGAACTATTAGCTTAGCTTGTGCTGTTTCCCTCCTGAGATGTTTGAACACTTCATATTTTCTTCTCCTCTTCTTTAGGAATCGAATAACTCTCTGCAGAATGAGCAAGAGCGTTCGGGCTCTCTGATCTCCCAGTTAAGGGAAAACAAAGAAAATACATCGAAGTGAGTTTTTTCTTCTTCTTTGTTTGCTACTCTGAGATCTCTTAATGACCTCATTGAACCCTCTTATGAACGATATTGCCTTTGCACGTTCCCTCAGAGAACTTATTGAATCTATGGAGCAGAATATACAACTGAAAAAACAAGTCTCAGACCTGACCGCACAAAATCTACAACAGGTCAGTCCTCACAACAGAATTCATGTTTGCTAATGTAAACTGCTTGGATTGACAGTAATCGCACCTCAGTTGGGTAAATGTTCTTGTTGTGATCTTTTTTAAAAATTTGTTTTGAAGTCCTCCAAAGTCGTCGAGTTCGAGCAAAATCTGAACTCCGCCGGCGAAACGATAAAAAGCCTGGAGCAGGAGATCAGACAGAGCAAAGTAAGCTGGAGCAAATGATATTTTTGTAATTTTTACTCGTGGTTGAAGCGAGTCTGCTACCCTGTTTTAATCCAACCTGTGCGCCTTTGACAGGATATGGTTTTAGATCTGATGAATCAAACGAGAGACCTTCGCTGTGAGCAGAACCAGAAAGACCAGTCCATCACACAGCTGTCTGAAGACATCAGAGAAATCACGGTACTTCACTCTTTCAGCTTGTACATCTTTATTCACTGCAGTTGTCTCAGTGGTCACATCATTGATCTTGCAGGCCAAGTATGACGCCGCCTGCCTTGAAATAGACGAAACGAGGGACCAGCACTCAAATATGCAAACAGAAATAAACGACCTCAAAGAAATGTTGGACAGGAGTGACGCGTCAAACAGAATAGAGGTAGGTTTTAACATTCAACGCTGTTGGAGGTTCATTTTTGTCTTGTTGCTTCAAGTAACGTGTGTGCGTGTCTGTCCTCAGGTGGAGGTGCTGCAGGAGGAGGTTGTTTACGCCACTGAGGAGGTTGAGCGACTCACTAAAGTCTTAGACGAGCAGAACCTTCTGCTTCAAGCATCTCAAGAGCAAACAGCCCAGAAAGACATCCTGATACAGAATTTACAGCAGAAGGTGACGTTTTCTAGAGTATCTCAATATGACTTATAATAGAACTTTTAACAAATTTCTTCTTTTTTTTTTTTTTGGATCAGGTGCAAGAACAACAAGAGGCAGTGGAAAGAACTCTCAGAAATGGGAGTTTCAAATCTCCCATTGAGCGGTCGGTCACGGCAAAATCTCTGCCTCGGGTAAGACGCGTCTGTGCTGTATGTCTCGCCTTCTGGTGTTTTTGTTTTTTAATACACGCAGTTAAAATACACTTTTCTTCTTTTCAAGACCCCCTGCACTCCAATGAGCTTCAACAGAGACCTGACAGAAGTGCTGGAGAGCCAAGAGAGGGAGCTGGAGAACCAGCGCTCCTCCATGATGACCATGGAGGTTCTTTTAAACGAGCTGAACGCAGAGAGGACCGCCAAGAATGAAGAGATCCAAAGACTGAAAGTAAACACTGTTATCTTACCCTCACTATGAAATTCTCAGCATTTCTTATAAATGCAAATGCATGAATTAGGATATTCAATATTGAGAGTGTGTTTTCACCGTCCTCAGACTCAGCTGACTGAAAAAGAGATGACACAAATGGAGATCCAAGCTTTAATCGACCAGCTTTACACCCAGCAGAGCCAGGATGGAAAAAATAACAGGTCAAGTTTATCGATTTAATGCATCAAGTCCTCCATGTCGATGTGATACAAAGACTGATAATGCCGTCTGTGTTTTGCAGTGATGAGTTACATGAGGCCATCAAGCAGTCCATGCGTAAAGAGCTGCAGATTCTGGTGGAAGAGAAGGTCAGTAGCTGCTGGTCTTTAGATTTTTTCCCTTTTATTTAACAGTCAATCAATCGTGTTCCTCTGATTTTATCTACAGAGCAAACTGGAGCAGAAGCTGGCTGATACTCTGAAGAAGTAAGTCCCGGTTTTCTGCAGTTTTTTTATTCTGAATCTCCTTCAGAGTTTCGACATTTAACGGGCACTGTCTGTTTGACAAGGATGCAGGCACAGGAGTCCTTGTTGGCCCAGTCTCAATCCTGCATCCAGGAACTGACCTCAGAGCTGAGGAACCGCTGTTTCGAGCTGAGAGAGCTGAACCAGAGGGTACTTGATGAGGAGAAGCTGCTTCAGGTCAGAGCCAGAGTAGAGGCTCAATTAAAGGAATATATCGATTGTTAAATTTGAACAATTAACCCAAGAACTAAGTCTGTGCCTCATCAGTGATATACATTTTCTGTTTATTAGGAGAACGAGGTTCTCCGAAAGCAGAACGTTCAGTTGTCAGAAGAAAATGGAAAACTTGTGGGCCATAAGAACCACAAACAGAGGATTGAATATCTGGTAAAGCTGAAAAAGGAAAACACCAAACTTCAAGAGGTAACTAATGCTTCTACTGTCATATCCAGATGTTTTCTGATTTATATGTGATGTCAATAAACTCTGATTTTTTTTTTTTTGTTTTAAAGGAAAATGAAAAGCTCAGGACAGAGATCGGTCTAATCCGGGACAACATGGGATGTTTGGAGATGACGTGAATTCCTGATTTTTTTTTTTTTTTTTTAATAATCAGATTTTATTCAATTTTTAGAACATAACAACAATACAGCATTGCATACATCAGTAAGGTCTGAGCAAGTGGAAACAGATGAATAAGCAGAACTCAGTAAAAAAAAAAAAAAAGAAAGAAAAGGGAAAAATAAATAAATAAATACATATATACACATACATGTCCCTGCACCTGATATGAAAGATTTCTTACCACCATTCACCTCATTCTGTAACCTTCTAGGCCAGTGTTTCCCCTCTCGATAATTTCACTTAGATCCTTAGGCAGATAATCCATTAGAGGCCGCCATATGTCCATAAAAATGTCATTATTTCCTTTCAATTTGGCACTTAGTCTTTCCATAGGAAGGACTCTGAAAATTTCTTTGTACCACTGGGTTACAGTGGGGGGTTTCTCACTTATCCAATTAAATAATATGCATTTTCTGGCCAGAAGTAAAAGTTTATTGAGTAATTTCGATCTTTTTGCATCCATAACTCTATTCCCTGAAGGTAGACCTAATAGAAACTGGCCTGGATCTTTACATATCCTGTGTTTGAATATTGCTGACACTTCCTTAGATACACAAGACCAGAAAATCGAGATTTTCGAACAGTTCCAAAAGCAGTGCATATAAGTCCCACTTGACGTTTTACATTTCAGGCACAATGGTGATCTATTGGGGTCAATTTTGTTCATAACATGAGGTGTTCTGTGTTGTCTGTGGAGTATCCTATATTGCATTTCTTTAAATTTACTGTTGAGGAACAGCGAATGAGTGGTCCGAATACATCCCTCCCACGCATCTTCATCATATACCCTTTGAAGGTCCTCCTCCCATCGCTTAACCAGCCCCTCAACACTATGTTGGTTACAACTCTGAAGGCTATTATAAAAGTATGTGATAAGACCTTTCTTCACTGTAAAATTAATTATGAACTTGTCAATTGGTCCCTTCAGTGTTTCTGTTTGAGATACTTTAAGATTCGTATTGATGAAGTGACGGGCTTGAAGATATGCAAAAAAATCTTTTGGTGGAAGACCAAATCTATTTTGTGCTTGTGAAAAGGACATGAGGACATTGTTATCGAATTCCTGATTTTAAATCAGAAACTCTCACAAAGTCTATACTGGAGGGAAACTATACTTTTTACATTGATCTGTAATACCGACAGAACCGACAAGCCAGGTGTAAAAAAATTTAATTGATCCAACTCTATTCTGTGTTTTTTTATGTTCTCAGATGATAGAAGGTTACAAACATGCTGTAAAAACTTTATTGTATTTCTTTTTTTTTTCTTACCACTAGGGGGAAAAGTTGTTACTGGAATCTGGAAAGTACAGTGACAGTCACGTGTGAATAAAGCATTTAAAAAAGGTTTTATTCTTTTTTTACTGTGTGGATACTTGATCCAAAACCTCTGATTTTGTAGCAACACTTGTGTTGAGTTAAACAAGGATAAATAACGAAATTTTTAGGACTAAAAATTAAAAAAAAAAAAAAAAAAAAATTATCTTTGTGCGTTGCTCTAAAGTTTTATGGTCATAAAAAATGCTTGAATTTTCCTCCAAAGGGTGCATGTTTAAATAAGAGATATAAATCTTACGTTTTACTGTTCAAACCCTTTTTCTAAATAGATTTTTTCTTTTAAGTTAGTCTAATGTTACAGTGGCCGAGAACCGCCACTGCTGCAAATAAAAAAGAATGGGGGGAAAAAAAAAAAAGCCACAACAGAAGTTACCGATTAAAAAAAAAAAAAAAGAGACTGAAACCTGCTGCAAATAAAAAAAGAAATGGTGCAGATTAAAAAAAAAAGCCACAACGGAAGTTAATGACGCAAAAAAAAGTGGCTATGTAAAAAAGAAAAAAAATACTGCAAAAATAAAAGGATGCAAATAAAAAAGCCACAATAGAGGTGATCTAGCCACAGAAGACGAGCAAAGAAGTTAGTGGCTTTGTGTGCTTTTCAATGTGTCATCTGGTTCGGCCATGTTGCGCCAGAGTGGATATGAAGTTGAACTGGAAGATGCTGGTGTAGTGTTAGCTTTGGGGAATCGGGAATCGAGTTCGGTAGCTTTGTGGTTCAGTTGCTTTACTCATAGAAATCAGTACACAGTACAGTATGGTCGTGGAGGAGATGGTCGTGGAGGACGGACTTCCTGTGTGTGACGCCGGTTGGTGAGCAGACGCCGGTTTTGACAGCTCTCGAAAACTTTGCCCAAAATCTCACAAAAACTGTGCTACAATCATTGGATTCAGTTGTTTTATTTATTTATTTTTTACTCTATCTTTTAACCGGCCAAGAATTTTAAATCGGATTTTAAGCTGCTTTTAAATGAACTGATTCGCCGGTTTTTATGTAGCCGGCGGTTAAAGCTGCTAACCTCTGCTCACTGAACCTTAAACCATGGAAACACTCACCTCCTCACACGAGTGCAACAGCTGCCTCAAAAAATCCAAAACTATCGCTGAGCTGGAACGACGTATTTCCAGCCTCCACTGGATCCGCAACGAGGAGTCACTCCTGGACTCGATGTTGACGCTGGGTGCGGGCCTCCCTGTGAACCCAGCCGAGCTGGACTCCACCATCCCGGCAGCCGCTGCTCCGCAGGCTCCACCGGCCCCAGCGAGCGCTGCTGCTGCCTCTGGCTCCCCACCTTCCACCGCGGAGGCTCCTGCTGAGCCGGCTCATCCTCAACCCGGGGAACCTTGGCTGACTCAGGGGGCAAGGCCAAAGCGAGTGCCGGCTCCCGCACTGGACTTCACTCCTCACCCGAGGTTCAACATTCGGAGTTCCACCCCACGGTCAACAGCGGCTGCAAAGAGGAGGACCAGCCTGAAACCACTGAAATCCCACTTCGATCTCCAGCTGTCCTCGAGGTACGATGTACTCAGTGTTGCGGATTTTCCTCCGCTGCCAGGAAGGCCGGATCCGGGCCCAGCTGATGTCGGACGAAGCGCAGCCTCACCTCCGTCTTCTGCTGGGAACGAGGAGGTGAACGGAGGTATGCACACGGGGCCTCGGCGCCCCCTCCTCCCCCCGTCATGCATACTCCCCGACCCGGTGCAAACCGTTCAGGGAACCTCTGCGAAGGCACTCCGCTGGGAACAGAGGTTCTCCGGCCCCAACTTGCGCACCACCGCCACCGCCGCGTCCTCGCCCACTGTTCCCGCCGACCACGGCAATCATCGGAGACTCCATCGTGAGGCACGTCCGTTTTTTTAACGCAGTAACCCACTGCTTCCCAGGCGCCACTGTCCCAACTCTCCTCCATAAACTCCCGGAGCTGCTGGGCTCACTCCCATCCTCCATCACGAGGCTGGTTTTACACCTGGGTTTTAACGACACTTCCTCCCGTCAGTCTGAAGTGACCAAGGACTATTTTAAGAAACTTTTTAAGGTTCTCACCGACTGCGGTAAGTCTGTTTTTATCTCGGGGCCCCTCCCCTCCTTCGACCGTGGCATGGGGCGCTTCAGCAGACTCCTCAGCCTGAACACCTGGCTCCATTCCGCCTGCCCTTGCGGGTTCCGTTTTATCGACAATTTTAACTTGTTTTGGAACCGATCCCCGTTCTATAGGGCTGACGGAGTCCACCCCTCTCGCCTGGGCAGCAGGGTGCTCGGCGACAACATTCGACATGCTGTCCAGTCCACATACACACCTACACACACACCCCCACACACACCTGACACACACACGTGACTGATTTCCCCCTCTTCCTCTGTGTCACTGTCCCAAGCCACTACCGCCGCCACCAGCCCCCCCTACCGCCCACCCCCAGTACTACACCATACCACTGCCACTTCTCCTCCAATCTCATCCTCTGCCTGCATACAGTCAGTTTCACCAACACCTCACTTACAGTTCACCCCCATATCCTGCATCCCAGTCAGAATCTCACACCGAGCTCACAGAACATTCCCTTCACGGACCATCAACTTAACTCCAGTCACATTGGCTCCCATTTCACCACTGCCTGAGGATGAGCGCACGCTCGGCACAAACACTAATATGGCCGTGCTGAACGTGCGCTCGCTTTTAAATAAGTCATTTATCATCCATGATCTGATTTTAGACAATAATTTAGACATTCTCCTTTTAACAGAGACATGGCTTGGCACTGATGCTTCAATTGTTCTCACCGAGGCTTGCCCCCTAATTTTATTTTTTTATTTTCAACAAGGGGGGTAGAAAGGGAGGAGGCACTGCCTCAATATTTAAAAACAAATTGTGCCCAAATGAAGTTTCTTTTAACAGTTTTACATCATTCGAATACCACGCATTTGTTTTTAGCAGTCCTCCTACTCTCTGTATTACAATTTACAGACCACCCCACTACTCCAACTCTTTTATCAGCGAATTTTCTGATCTATTATCCATTTTACATACTACCCATAACAGGATTTTAATAACTGGTGATTTTAACTTGCACATTGATACAGCGTCTGATCCAATGTCTAAGGAGTTTTTAAACCTTTTAAATTGCATGGGTTTTAAACAGCATGTGGCACAGCCGACTCACAACAGAGGGCACACCCTGGATTTGGTCATAACTTCCGGCCTATCCACTGGTGTGTCCTCTGTTGTCGACCTGGCTGTGTCGGATCACTACTGTGTGTATTTTAATATCACCAGTTTTAACCATCAGGAGGCCCCGGTGAGAACGGTGAGGAAACGCTACCTAACCCCCGAAGTGGCTGCAAATTTTATTGGGATTTTACAGAGCACTCCTGCCGCAATTTTACCTGCACCATGCGATTTTATTGTGGACCATTTTAACAGAACATTAAAAACCACATTGGACACAGTGGCTCCACCCGTAATTAAAACGATATTGCCTTTGCACGTTCCCTCAGAGAACTTATTGAATCTATGGAGCAGAATATACAACTGAAAAAACAAGTCTCAGACCTGACCGCACAAGATCTACAACAGGTCAGTCCTGATAACAGAATTCATGTTTGCTAATGTAAACTGCTTGGATTGACAGTAATCGCACCTCAGTTGGGTAAATGTTCTTGTTGTGATCTTTTTAAAAAATTGTTTTTAAGTCCTCCAAAGTCGTCGAGTTCGAGCAAAATCTGAACTCCGCCGGCAAAACGATAAAAAGCCTGGAGCAGGAGATCAGACAGAGCAAAGTAAGCTGGAGCAAATGATATTTTTGTAATTTTTACTCGTGGTTGAAGCGAGTCTGCTACCCTGTTTTAATCCAACCTGTGCGCCTTTGACAGGATATGGTTTTAGATCTGATGAATCAAACGAGAGACCTTCGCTGTGAGCAGAACCAGAAAGACCAGTCCATCACACAGCTGTCTGAAGACATCAGAGAAATCACGGTACTTCACTCTTTCAGCTTGTACATCTTTATTCACTGCAGTTGTCTCAGTGGTCACATCATTGATCTTGCAGGCCAAGTATGACGCCGCCTGCCTTGAAATAGACGAAACGAGGGACCAGCACTCAAATATGCAAACAGAAATAAACGACCTCAAAGAAATGTTGGACAGGAGTGACGCGTCAAACAGAATAGAGGTAGGTTTTAACATTCAACGCTGTTGGAGGTTCATTTTTGTCTTGTTGCTTCAAGTAACGTGTGTGCGTGTCTGTCCTCAGGTGGAGGTGCTGCAGGAGGAGGTTGTTTACGCCACTGAGGAGGTTGAGCGACTCACTAAAGTCTTAGACGAGCAGAACCTTCTGCTTCAAGCATCTCAAGAGCAAACAGCCCAGAAAGACATCCTGATACAGAATTTACAGCAGAAGGTGACGTTTTCTAGAGTATCTCAATATGACTTATAATAGAACTTTTAACAAATTTCTTCTTTTTTTTTTTTTGGATCAGGTGCAAGAACAACAAGAGGCAGTGGAAAGAACTCTCAGAAATGGGAGTTTCAAATCTCCCATTGAGCGGTCGGTCACGGCAAAATCTCTGCCTCGGGTAAGACGCGTCTGTGCTGTATGTCTCGCCTTCTGGTGTTTTTGTTTTTTAATACACGCAGTTAAAATACACTTTTCTTCTTTTCAAGACCCCCTGCACTCCAATGAGCTTCAACAGAGACCTGACAGAAGTGCTGGAGAGCCAAGAGAGGGAGCTGGAGAACCAGCGCTCCTCCATGATGACCATGGAGGTTCTTTTAAACGAGCTGAACGCAGAGAGGACCGCCAAGAATGAAGAGATCCAAAGACTGAAAGTAAACACTGTTATCTTACCCTCACTATGAAATTCTCAGCATTTCTTATAAATGCAAATGCATGAATTAGGATATTCAATATTGAGAGTGTGTTTTCACCGTCCTCAGACTCAGCTGACTGAAAAAGAGATGACACAAATGGAGATCCAAGCTTTAATCGACCAGCTTTACACCCAGCAGAGCCAGGATGGAAAAAATAACAGGTCAAGTTTATCGATTTAATGCATCAAGTCCTCCATGTCGATGTGATACAAAGACTGATAATGCCGTCTGTGTTTTGCAGTGATGAGTTACATGAGGCCATCAAGCAGTCCATGCGTAAAGAGCTGCAGATTCTGGTGGAAGAGAAGGTCAGTAGCTGCTGGTCTTTAGATTTTTTCCCTTTTATTTAACAGTCAATCAATCGTGTTCCTCTGATCTTATCTACAGAGCAACCTGGAGCAGAAGCTGGCTGATACTCTGAAGAAGTAAGTCCCGGTTTTCTGCAGTTTTTTTATTCTGAATCTCCTTCAGAGTTTCGACATTTAACGGGCACTGTCTGTTTGACAAGGATGCAGGCACAGGAGTCCTTGTTGGCCCAGTCTCAATCCTGCGTCCAGGAACTGACCTCAGAGCTGAGGAACCGCTGTTTCGAGCTGAGAGAGCTGAACCAGAGGGTACTTGATGAGGAGAAGCTGCTTCAGGTCAGAGCCAGAGTAGAGGCTCAATTAAAGGAATATATCGATTGTTAAATTTGAACAATTAACCCAAGAACTAAGTCTGTGCCTCATCAGTGATATACATTTTCTGTTTATTAGGAGAACGAGGTTCTCCGAAAGCAGAACGTTCAGTTGTCAGAAGAAAATGGAAAACTTGTGGGCCATAAGAACCACAAACAGAGGATTGAATATCTGGTAAAGCTGAAAAAGGAAAACACCAAACTTCAAGAGGTAACTAATGCTTCTACTGTCATATCCAGATGTTTTCTGATTTATATGTGATGTCAATAAACTCTGATTTTTTTTTTTTTGTTTTAAAGGAAAATGAAAAGCTCAGGACAGAGATCGGTCTAATCCGGGACAACATGGGATGTTTGGAGATGACGTGAATTCCTGATTTTTTTTTTTTTTTTTTAATAATCAGATTTTATTCAATTTTTAGAACATAACAACAATACAGCATTGCATACATCAGTAAGGTCTGAGCAAGTGGAAACAGATGAATAAGCAGAACTCAGTAAAAAAAAAAAAAAAAAAAAGAAAGAAAAGGGAAAAATAAATAAATAAATACATATATACACATACATGTCCCTGCACCTGATATGAAAGATTTCTTACCACCATTCACCTCATTCTGTAACCTTCTAGGCCAGTGTTTCCCCTCTCGATAATTTCACTTAGATCCTTAGGCAGATAATCCATTAGAGGCCGCCATATGTCCATAAAAATGTCATTATTTCCTTTCAATTTGGCACTTAGTCTTTCCATAGGAAGGACTCTGAAAATTTCTTTGTACCACTGGGTTACAGTGGGGGGTTTCTCACTTATCCAATTAAATAATATGCATTTTCTGGCCAGAAGTAAAAGTTTATTGAGTAATTTCGATCTTTTTGCATCCATAACTCTATTCCCTGAAGGTAGACCTAATAGAAACTGGCCTGGATCTTTACATATCCTGTGTTTGAATATTGCTGACACTTCCTTAGATACACAAGACCAGAAAATCGAGATTTTCGAACAGTTCCAAAAGCAGTGCATATAAGTCCCACTTGACGTTTTACATTTCAGGCACAATGGTGATCTATTGGGGTCAATTTTGTTCATAACATGAGGTGTTCTGTGTTGTCTGTGGAGTATCCTATATTGCATTTCTTTAAATTTACTGTTGAGGAACAGCGAATGAGTGGTCCGAATACATCCCTCCCACGCATCTTCATCATATACCCTTTGAAGGTCCTCCTCCCATCGCTTAACCAGCCCCTCAACACTATGTTGGTTACAACTCTGAAGGCTATTATAAAAGTATGTGATAAGACCTTTCTTCACTGTAAAATTAATTATGAACTTGTCAATTGGTCCCTTCAGTGTTTCTGTTTGAGATACTTTAAGATTCGTATTGATGAAGTGACGGGCTTGAAGATATGCAAAAAAATCTTTTGGTGGAAGACCAAATCTATTTTGTGCTTGTGAAAAGGACATGAGGACATTGTTATCGAATTCCTGATTTTAAATCAGAAACTCTCACAAAGTCTATACTGGAGGGAAACTATACTTTTTACATTGATCTGTAATACCGACAGAACCGACAAGCCAGGTGTAAAAAAATTTAATTGATCCAACTCTATTCTGTGTTTTTTTATGTTCTCAGATGATAGTAGGTTACAAACATGCTGTAAAAACTTTATTGTATTTCTTTTTTTTTTCTTACCACTAGGGGGAAAAGTTGTTACTGGAATCTGGAAAGTACAATGACAGTCACGTGTGAATAAAGCATTTAAAAAAGGTTTTATTCTTTTTTTACTGTGTGGATACTTGATCCAAAACCTCTGATTTTGTAGCAACACTTGTGTTGAGTTAAACAAGGATAAATAACGAAATTTTTAGGACTAAAAATTAAAAAAAAAAAAAAAGGATGCTGTCCTCTACCTTCTCCATCGAACACACTCCTACCTCGATGAGGGAGGCTGCGCTGTGAGGATTCTTTTTTTCGACTTCTCAAGCGCATTTAACACCATTCAGCCCCCACGACTGCAGGAAAAACTGTCTACCATGCAGGTGGACCCCCTCCTCATCTCCTGGATATCTGACTACCTGACCGACAGACCACAATTTGTTAGGATCGGTAGCAGTATCTCCAGCACCATCACCAGCAGCACTGGAGCTCCGCAGGGGACCGTGCTGTCCCCCATCCTCTTCTCCCTGTACACTGCTGATTTCCAACACAACTCGGAACTCTGCCACATGCAGAAGTTCTCGGATGACACAGCAGTTGTAGCGTGTATTAGGGAGAACGAGGAGGGGGAATACAGGGAACTAGTGAGCGACTTTGTGGGGTGGTGCCAGGAGAACCAGCTGCTCCTGAACACCTCCAAAACAAAGGAGATTGTGCTGGACTTCAGGCGCCAGCCCCCCGCCCCACTCCCTGTTTGCATCGAGGGCGAGGAGGTCGAGATAGTGCCCTGTTACAAATACCTCGGACTCATACTAGACAATAAACTGGACTGGACTCAGAACATTGACCACCTCTACAAGAAGGGCCAGAGCAGGCTCTACTTCTTGCGGAGGCTGGCATCATTCAACATCTGCACCAAGCTCCTACAGATGTTTTACAACTCTGTAGTGGCTAGTGTGCTGTTCTATGCTGTGTCTTGCTGGGGTGGCAGTGGCAGCAAAAGAAACATCCAGAGGCTGAACAAGCTCATCAAGAAGGCAGGCTCAGTGGTGGGCCTGAAGCTGGACTCTGTTGAGGAGGTGACAGAGCAGAGGTCACTCACCAGACTCAAGGCAATTATGAACAATGCCAGCCATCCACTGAGCTATGCCTTCAACCAGCAGAGGAGCACCATCAGCAGCAGACTACGATCACTGAACTCCTCAACAACAAGACACACAAAGTCGTTTGTCCCCCGCGCCATCAGGCTGCACAACTCCCTGAGCGGGAGGAAGAGACGGGAGGAGGAGTAGGAGTAGCTGGAGTCAAGCGGGTGTGGGGGGAATATCTCAAAGGCAGAAGTGCTGGAACACTTCTGTCCTCATTGTCGCTGTTTCTGTTGTGGTGTGTTGTTTTACCTGTCCCTGCCTTTGTCCCCAAGTTGGTTCTCCCTCCTGCCATTAGTTTTTCTTTATTTCTTTATTTATTTTTAGATATTTATTCATAATCTGTTTTTATCATATCATATGTGTGTGTGACTGATTCTTGTGAGCAGTTGACCACTCTTGAATTTCCTTCGGGATTAATAAAGTACATCTATCTATCTATCTATCTATCTATCTATCTATTTAAAAAAGGTTTTATTCTTTTTTTACTGTGTGGATACTTGATCCAAAACCTCTGATTTTGTAGCAACACTTGTGTTGAGTTAAACAAGGATAAATAACGAAATTTTTAGGACTAAAAAAAAAAAAAAATTATCTTTGTGCGTTGCTCTAAAGTTTTATGGTCATAAAAAATGCTTGAATTTTCCTCCAAAGGGTGCATGTTTAAATAAGAGATATAAATCTTACGTTTTACTGTTCAAACCCTTTTTCTAAATAGATTTTTTCTTTTAAGTTAGTCTAATGTTACAGTGGCCGAGAACCGCCACTGCTGCAAATAAAAAAGAATGGGGGGAAAAAAAAAAGAAGAAGCCACAACAGAAGTTACCGATGAAAAAAAAAAAAAAAGAGACTGAAACCTGCTGCAAATAAAAAAAGAAATGGTGCAGATTAAAAAAAAAAGCCACAACGGAAGTTAATGACGCAAAAAAAAAGTGGCTATGTAAAAAAGAAAAAAAATACTGCAAAAATAAAAGGATGCAAATAAAAAAGCCACAATAGAGGTGATCTAGCCACAGAAGACGAGCAAAGAAGTTAGTGGCTTTGTGTGCTTTTCAATGTGTCATCTGGTTCGGCCATGTTGCGCCAGAGTGGATATGAAGTTGAACTGGAAGATGCTGGTGTAGTGTTAGCTTTGGGGAATCGGGAATCGAGTTCGGTAGCTTTGTGGTTCAGTTGCTTTACTCATAGAAATCAGTACACAGTACAGTATGGTCGTGGAGGAGATGGTCGTGGAGGACGGACTTCCTGTGTGTGACGCCGGTTGGTGAGCAGACGCCGGTTTTGACAGCTCTCGAAAACTTTGCCCAAAATCTCACAAAAACTGTGCTACAATCATTGGATTCAGTTGTTTTATTTATTTATTTTTTACTCTATCTTTTAACCGGCCAAGAATTTTAAATCGGATTTTAAGCTGCTTTTAAATGAACTGATTCGCCGGTTTTTATGTAGCCGGCGGTTAAAGCTGCTAACCTCTGCTCACTGAACCTTAAACCATGGAAACACTCACCTCCTCACACGAGTGCAACAGCTGCCTCAAAAAATCCAAAACTATCGCTGAGCTGGAACGACGTATTTCCAGCCTCCACTGGATCCGCAACGAGGAGTCACTCCTGGACTCGATGTTGACGCTGGGTGCGGGCCTCCCTGTGAACCCAGCCGAGCTGGACTCCACCATCCCGGCAGCCGCTGCTCCGCAGGCTCCACCGGCCCCAGCGAGCGCTGCTGCTGCCTCTGGCTCCCCACCTTCCACCGCGGAGGCTCCTGCTGAGCCGGCTCATCCTCAACCCGGGGAACCTTGGCTGACTCAGGGGGCAAGGCCAAAGCGAGTGCCGGCTCCCGCACTGGACTTCACTCCTCACCCGAGGTTCAACATTCGGAGTTCCACCCCACGGTCAACAGCGGCTGCAAAGAGGAGGACCAGCCTGAAACCACTGAAATCCCACTTCGATCTCCAGCTGTCCTCGAGGTACGATGTACTCAGTGTTGCGGATTTTCCTCCGCTGCCAGGAAGGCCGGATCCGGGCCCAGCTGATGTCGGACGAAGCGCAGCCTCACCTCCGTCTTCTGCTGGGAACGAGGAGGTGAACGGAGGTATGCACACGGGGCCTCGGCGCCCCCCTCCTCCCCCCCGTCATGCATACTCCCCGACCCGGTGCAAACCGTTCAGGGAACCTCTGCGAAGGCACTCCGCTGGGAACAGAGGTTCTCCGGCCCCAACTTGCGCACCACCGCCACCGCCGCGTCCTCGCCCACTGTTCCCGCCGACCACGGCAATCATCGGAGACTCCATCGTGAGGCACGTCCGTTTTTTTAACGCAGTAACCCACTGCTTCCCAGGCGCCACTGTCCCAACTCTCCTCCATAAACTCCCGGAGCTGCTGGGCTCACTCCCATCCTCCATCACGAGGCTGGTTTTACACCTGGGTTTTAACGACACTTCCTCCCGTCAGTCTGAAGTGACCAAGGACTATTTTAAGAAACTTTTTAAGGTTCTCACCGACTGCGGTAAGTCTGTTTTTATCTCGGGGCCCCTCCCCTCCTTCGACCGTGGCATGGGGCGCTTCAGCAGACTCCTCAGCCTGAACACCTGGCTCCATTCCGCCTGCCCTTGCGGGTTCCGTTTTATCGACAATTTTAACTTGTTTTGGAACCGATCCCCGTTCTATAGGGCTGACGGAGTCCACCCCTCTCGCCTGGGCAGCAGGGTGCTCGGCGACAACATTCGACATGCTGTCCAGTCCACATACACACCTACACACACACCCCCACACACACCTGACACACACACGTGACTGATTTCCCCCTCTTCCTCTGTGTCACTGTCCCAAGCCACTACCGCCGCCACCAGCCCCCCTACCGCCCACCCCCAGTACTACACCATACCACTGCCACTTCTCCTCCAATCTCATCCTCTGCCTGCATACAGTCAGTTTCACCAACACCTCACTTACAGTTCACCCCCATATCCTGCATCCCAGTCAGAATCTCACACCGAGCCCACAGAACATTCCCTTCACGGACCATCAACTTAACTCCAGTCACATTGGCTCCCATTTCACCACTGCCTGAGGATGAGCGCACGCTCGGCACAAACACTAATATGGCCGTGCTGAACGTGCGCTCGCTTTTAAATAAGTCATTTATCATCCATGATCTGATTTTAGACAATAATTTAGACATTCTCCTTTTAACAGAGACATGGCTTGGCACTGATGCTTCAATTGTTCTCACCGAGGCTTGCCCCCCTAATTTTATTTTTTTATTTTCAACAAGGGGGGGGTAGAAAGGGAGGAGGCACTGCCTCAATATTTAAAAACAAATTGTGCCCAAATGAAGTTTCTTTTAACAGTTTTACATCATTCGAATACCACGCATTTGTTTTTAGCAGTCCTCCTACTCTCTGTATTACAATTTACAGACCACCCCACTACTCCAACTCTTTTATCAGCGAATTTTCTGATCTATTATCCATTTTACATACTACCCATAACAGGATTTTAATAACTGGTGATTTTAACTTGCACATTGATACAGCGTCTGATCCAATGTCTAAGGAGTTTTTAAACCTTTTAAATTGCATGGGTTTTAAACAGCATGTGGCACAGCCGACTCACAACAGAGGGCACACCCTGGATTTGGTCATAACTTCCGGCCTATCCACTGGTGTGTCCTCTGTTGTCGACCTGGCTGTGTCGGATCACTACTGTGTGTATTTTAATATCACCAGTTTTAACCATCAGGAGGCCCCGGTGAGAACGGTGAGGAAACGCTACCTAACCCCCGAAGTGGCTGCAAATTTTATTGGGATTTTACAGAGCACTCCTGCCGCAATTTTACCTGCACCATGCGATTTTATTGTGGACCATTTTAACAGAACATTAAAAACCACATTGGACACAGTGGCTCCACCCGTAATTAAAACGATATTGCCTTTGCACGTTCCCTCAGAGAACTTATTGAATCTATGGAGCAGAATATACAACTGAAAAAACAAGTCTCAGACCTGACCGCACAAGATCTACAACAGGTCAGTCCTGATAACAGAATTCATGTTTGCTAATGTAAACTGCTTGGATTGACAGTAATCGCACCTCAGTTGGGTAAATGTTCTTGTTGTGATCTTTTTAAAAAATTGTTTTTAAGTCCTCCAAAGTCGTCGAGTTCGAGCAAAATCTGAACTCCGCCGGCAAAACGATAAAAAGCCTGGAGCAGGAGATCAGACAGAGCAAAGTAAGCTGGAGCAAATGATATTTTTGTAATTTTTACTCGTGGTTGAAGCGAGTCTGCTACCCTGTTTTAATCCAACCTGTGCGCCTTTGACAGGATATGGTTTTAGATCTGATGAATCAAACGAGAGACCTTCGCTGTGAGCAGAACCAGAAAGACCAGTCCATCACACAGCTGTCTGAAGACATCAGAGAAATCACGGTACTTCACTCTTTCAGCTTGTACATCTTTATTCACTGCAGTTGTCTCAGTGGTCACATCATTGATCTTGCAGGCCAAGTATGACGCCGCCTGCCTTGAAATAGACGAAACGAGGGACCAGCACTCAAATATGCAAACAGAAATAAACGACCTCAAAGAAATGTTGGACAGGAGTGACGCGTCAAACAGAATAGAGGTAGGTTTTAACATTCAACGCTGTTGGAGGTTCATTTTTGTCTTGTTGCTTCAAGTAACGTGTGTGCGTGTCTGTCCTCAGGTGGAGGTGCTGCAGGAGGAGGTTGTTTACGCCACTGAGGAGGTTGAGCGACTCACTAAAGTCTTAGACGAGCAGAACCTTCTGCTTCAAGCATCTCAAGAGCAAACAGCCCAGAAAGACATCCTGATACAGAATTTACAGCAGAAGGTGACGTTTTCTAGAGTATCTCAATTTGACTTATAATAGAACTTTTAACAAATTTATTCTTTTTTTTTTTTTTTGGATCAGGTGCAAGAACAACAAGAAGCAGTGGAAAGAACTCTCAGAAATGGGAGTTTCAAATCTCCCATTGAGCGGTCGGTCACGGCAAAATCTCTGCCTCAGGTAAGACGCGTCTGTGCTGTATGTCTCGCCTTCTGGTGTTTTCGTTTTTTAATACACGCAGTTAAAATACACTTTTCTTCTTTTCAAGACCCCCTGCACTCCAATGAGCTTCAACAGAGACCTGACAGAAGTGCTGGAGAGCCAAGAGAGGGAGCTGGAGAACCAGCGCTCCTCCATGATGACCATGGAGGTTCTTTTAAACGAGCTGAACGCAGAGAGGACCGCCAAGAATGAAGAGATCCAAAGACTGAAAGTAAACACTGTTATCTTACCCTCACTATGAAATTCTCAGCATTTCTTATAAATGCAAATGCATGAATTAGGATATTCAATATTGAGAGTGTGTTTTCACCGTCCTCAGACTCAGCTGACTGAAAAAGAGATGACACAAATGGAGATCCAAGCTTTAATCGACCAGCTTTACACCCAGCAGAGCCAGGATGGAAAAAATAACAGGTCAAGTTTATCGATTTAATGCATCAAGTCCTCCATGTCGATGTGATACAAAGACTGATAATGCCGTCTGTGTTTTGCAGTGATGAGTTACATGAGGCCATCAAGCAGTCCATGCGTAAAGAGCTGCAGATTCTGGTGGAAGAGAAGGTCAGTAGCTGCTGGTCTTTAGATTTTTTCCCTTTTATTTAACAGTCAATCAATCGTGTTCCTCTGATTTTATCTACAGAGCAAACTGGAGCAGAAGCTGGCTGATACTCTGAAGAAGTAAGTCCCGGTTTTCTGCAGTTTTTTTATTCTGAATCTCCTTCAGAGTTTCGACATTTAACGGGCACTGTCTGTTTGACAAGGATGCAGGCACAGGAGTCCTTGTTGGCCCAGTCTCAATCCTGCGTCCAGGAACTGACCTCAGAGCTGAGGAACCGCTGTTTCGAGCTGAGAGAGCTGAACCAGAGGGTACTTGATGAGGAGAAGCTGCTTCAGGTCAGAGCCAGAGTAGAGGCTCAATTAAAGGAATATATCGTGTAGCGTAGGACCACAATTTAACTGAGAACTGTAAGGTACAGTAGGGCGCTAGCCACCGCTCCCTGGCGTCCCTTACTATGGACAAAGATGCTGTGGACTCTCACTAAATAACAGGGGAGGGACAAGGATATAAAGGGAACAACATAAACCTTTATTACACCACAAACAAAATTATGCACAATTGACTCACTAAAACTTACACTAAAATATGTCCTGTCTAACTATACTAAGTCCTACTTAATACTAAACCTAATGGTACCAATGTTGCCCGGGGTTGGAGCTCAAAGGAGGACGTGAGGATTCTGATGCAGCCAGGATGGAGGTCTGTGGAGAGGTCCCGATGTTGAGGGATTATGTGCTCAGGTGTCCACGGGAGATGAATGGGAGCTGTTCTCGGGTGAAGAGGGGAGGGGGTGAAGATGTGGTCCAGAGGAGGAGGGGGTGAACTAAAGTCCTTAAACTGGGGCCAGTTAATGCTTGCTGGGATACGAAGGACAATGACGCCGCTAGCGAGACCTAGCTAGCCACTGTCGGGAAAACGAGAGCTAACATTAATCGGCGATCTAACTTCAGTTCAAAGTCTGTTTGTTCCTCTTCAGGTACAATCTTCACAGGATTAAAAACAACTTGTTGTGCGGGTTATTAATCCCACAAAACTTCACCGAAAGAATGAATGAATCTGTTGGATACACAAAGCTGCTCCGATCGTCTCCTCTTCTCAAACTTTCTCCTCTCACTCTCCCAGCTGACACACACACTCGCACCAAATCACACGCGCACTGATACAAACATATCAGCCTAATTACAGCAACACTGAAAGGACGTATATCTCCGCTGTATGAATGACATCGGGCACAACAACAACAATAACAACTGTACATCGCTGCAGTAACAATAATAAACAGGATCTCAAATAACAAACCAGAAGTAAAGAAGAAAGAGGGCTTAACTGGGCAGGGAGCAGTGGGAAGCCTATGTTACTGCTTAGAGGGGTTCTTAAAGTAAAACTATAAAACTAATCTTCTAGCCACTTCTGAGTCTTCAATACAGCCGCCCCCTAATTCGCTATGCGTAATTAGCTATCACTCAAATCAGAAGGCTCAGAGTTAAATCAAATACGGTAAGTTAAACTAGAATAGGTTGACTATCTAGCAGGATGAAGTTACGGGGGCGAGATCGGGGGTGGGTCATCTGTATTGGCGTCAGGGAATGCAGGGAGCTCTATGAGTCTTGTGACCGGCCTGGTGTAGGTCCGTCCCTGGACAATAACATCTGCTGCTCTAACTTTCCCATCAGATCCGACGATGACTCTGCTCACTCGCCCTACAGGCCAGATAGCTCTTGGTAGAGACTGATCAACGATCATCACGACTGTGCCTTCGGTCAGATTGTCCTTATCTCTCACCCATTTTTGTCGGGCTTGGAGGGAGGGGAGATAGTATAGGAGGAAATGGGACCAGAACTGATCAGCTAAAACCTGACTGTGTCTCCACATCCTTCTTCCTCTCATCTCATCTCGATGGTACACGGTCTGGGGGAGAGCAGGGTCCAGCCGCCCCATAAGGAGGTAGTTTGGAGTCACAGGGTCCACATCAGCGACGTCCGTGGATACGTACCCGAGAGGTTTGGAATTCAACACTCCCTCTATCTCAGTCAAAACAGTCGCCAAGACTTCATCAGTAATGGACTGTGCTCCCAACACGGTGTACAAGGCGGTCTTAATAGACCTCACTTCTCTCTCCCATGTGCCCCCAAAGTGAGGTGCATTTGGGGGGTTGAACTGGAAGTGGACTTGAGCTGGAGCTAAACGGGACTTCAGTTCTTCTGACATGGCCTCAAAGCTCTCACGTAGCTCAGACTCTCCTCCCTTGAAATTGGTCCCCTGGTCTGACAACAGCACGGCAGGGTTCCCTCTCCTAGCTTGAAATCTCCTGAAGGACATTAAGAAGGAATCTGTAGTCATAGACTGTAGCAACTCAATGTGTACGGCTCTTGTGGTCATGCATTTGTACACGATTCCCCAGCGCTTCTCAGTCCCCCTCCCTCTCTTGACTAAGAATGGACCAAAACAGTCTACTCCAGTTGTGTGGAATGCCCTCTCTCCTATCCTCAATCTTGAAGGTGGCAAATCGGCCATCTTGGGTATGGCGGGCTGGGCTCTCCATTTCTGGCAGGCGGTGCAAAATCGCTGGAATCGACGTACGGCTTCTCTTCCCTGCAGTATCCAGTACCGTCGTCGTATCTCGGCGAAAACTCTCTCTGCCCCTGCATGGCACACTGCTTGGTCGTACTTCTGAATGATTAACTCTGTCACTTGGTGTTTGGTTCCCAACACAATGGGATGTTTAATGTCTTCTGATAGGTTCATGGCACGTCGTAACCGACCTCCCACTCGGATCAGACCTTCAGAATCAAGTTCCGGGGCTAATCTCAAGAGTCTGCTATCTGATGGGACGGGCTTCCCAGCGGTCAAGCACTCCAGGTCCTCAGGGAAGGAATCTCGCTGGGCTCTCTTCAGGACTAATAGTTCTGCTTCCACATAATCTGCTGCACTTAGGTCTGTAGTGGCCGGGAGGTCTGGGTGGTGCCAAAGAAAAGTCGCCCTCTGCAGATGCTCGAGTGTAGGACTGTCATCAAGGCAGGGGCCATCTGCAGGTGGGACCTGACATAATCCACAAAACGGTGATCTCTTCAACTCTGCCTCGTCTGGGTTCTCAGCGATGGATGGTGGTAATGGCCAGTCTTCCTTGGGCCGCCGAAGAAAGCCTGGTCCGCAACTGTAAGGGTTCGCTTGAGACAGGGTGGCGAGGGTAGCACCTCTAGTGATTATATCCGCCGGGTTACTTCCTGTGTCAACATATCTCCAACACTCCACTCCAACTAGGTCTTGGATCTCCGAAACCCTTGTTCCGACGAACACTTTATAGCGGCAGGATTCGGATTGAAGCCAGGAAATCACAGTCATGGAGTCGGACCACAGGATGGTCTCCTGCAGCGGTAGGGTGAGCTCGTCCTTTACCATCTTAGCGAGTTGTGCGCCGACTAGGGCCGCACAGAGCTCCAGGCGTGGGATGGACTGCTGCTTACGAGGGGCTACCCGAGAGCGGGCTAGGACGAAAGCTATGTGGACGTCACCAGCGGTGTCGATTGCTCTGAGATAGACCACGGATCCGTAAACAGTCTCGGAGGCGTCACTAAAGACATGCAAGTCTATCTTACTCGTTCTCAGGTCGACGGTCGGAGGGAAGTAGCTGCGTGAAAGAGTAACTTCACCGAGGAGAGAAAGTTCTTCTTCCCACTCGCTCCACTTGGCAGCGAGGTGATCAGGGATAGGGTCATCCCAGCCCAGGTCCTTTGCCCACAACTCTCTCACCAGCACCTTGGCTCTAGTCGTATATGGGAGGATATAACCGAGTGGATCGTATTGACTTGCAAGAGTACTATAAATGCTTCTTCTGGTGATGCGCTCCTTCGTAGGTGGGGTGTGACGGTAGTGCAGGGTGTCTGTTTGGAAGTGCCATACGAGACCCAAGGTCATCTCCTGAGCCTCTCCGGGGCTCTGGGCCATCCAGGTCTCGCTGCTCTTGGCTTTGGCTTCAGGGGGAAGCTGACTGAGCACCCCAGGATGGCTACTTGCCCACTGACGCAGGTCGAATCCTCCCTTCGCTAGCAAGGTCCTCAGCTTCATAAGGATGGTTTCGGCCTCATGCTCAGTGGGGACACTCTGTAGACAGTTGTCTACATAAAAACAGCGTTCAATACTGTGGCGGATGTCTTCTCCTGCCTCTGGGTCGTCTGTGACATGCTTCTGCAGTGCGAAGATCGCACAGCAGGGGCTGCAGGTAGTACCAAATGGTAGTACTTCCCATTGATAGATAGAAGGGTGTTCGTCACTTGGGTCATCCCTCCACAGGAACCTCAGTAAGGGTTTATCCTCTTCCAGAAGGTGGATCTGGTGGAACATTCCCTTAATGTCCCCACTGATTGCCACTCTGTCCTGCCGGAAGCGCACAAGGACTCCTAGGAGTGATGGCCCAAGGGTGGGGCCGGGAAGGAGGTACCGATTTAGACACTGTTTGCCGACCTGGAAACTGCAATTAAAGACTACTCTGTCTTTGCCATTGTGTCGGACCTTGTGGTGCGGTACGTACCAACTCTCTCTTGACTTTCCCGCTTCGAAGTTGTCTATCTTCTTTACATGACCGCTTACTATTAACTTGCCAATCTCAGCTCGGTAAACTGCTGCTTGCTGCGGGTCCTTGGCCAGACGTCTCTCCGTGTTCCTCAGGTAGTTGCTGACTACTTCCTTGGATACGTGCAAAGTCGGCATGTTTTCTCTCCTCAATAGTGGAGTGGCATACCTCTGTACTCCCTTGACGTCTATCCTCTTGGTCTTCTGCTCAAGCAGTGTCACGGCGTACTTATCCTCCTTGGAGCGCACCATCTGTTTCTCATTACAGAAGGGAAGAACGTCCAGTTGCCACAGGCGCTCGACGTGGTTCAGCAGAGTGGCGTCGGCAGAGGTGACTTTGCTGTACAGGCAGCAGGTTGGTGCTATTCTATTGCGGGGAGAGTTGAATGGACCTTGGAGAGTCCAACCCAATCTTGTCTTAACGGCTGCTGGACACCCTCGGGGCCCAAGATATACTGCACTGACAGGGACGATAAGGTTGGTGTGATCAGAGCCGATGAGGAGGGTTGGGTGGACTTGATCAATTAGTGGTACCGGTAGGCGTCGCAGGTGCTCAAACCTCTCTTTGAGTTGCTCTATAGGATAATCGTACTGAGACAGACCAATCTGCTGGCTAGTGAAGACGTCGGTCACTGCATACTGTTTGTTTGGCTGGTCAGCAGGGGATATGGTGAAAGTGACTCTCTCACCCTTTATGGTCTTTAGATCTCGACGAATAGTGCGGAGGTTCAACTTCTCTTCTTGTCCCTTGATTCCCAGTTCCTCTGCAGCAGATGCAAGTAAGAGTGTTCTCTCAGAGCCGTCGTCAAGGACAGCGTGGGTGTCCAGTACTCTATCCTTGTAGCGTAGGAGGACTCTTACTATCTTCAACATCACTCTGGAGCTTCCGCTCTTTGCTGGGTCGATGTAGTGTACCTCGGCTGTTGACTCAGTAGGCGTTTCTCTGCGATTAACATCGTGCAGGATGGTCAGGTGGGTAGCTTGACATTGCCTACACCTCTTCTTAAGGTTGCACTCTGACGCTTTGTGTTGGCGGGCACACCTCCAGCATCGCCGATTGACTTTGATCCACTCTGTGGCCTGCTCTTTGTTCATCTTAGTGAAGTCTTCACAGGCATGTAGCCAGTGCTCTTTATCACAGAAGGGGCAGTGAGGTTTCACCTTGCTCTTGTTCGGAGTGGAAGGTTCTTTCTTATGGGCTGACTGGGTCGGTTTCGGTTTGAAATCTTCTGTCTGAAGCATCACAGTAGTTGGTTTCCCATGACCTCTGCTCTTCTTTCCTACATCTCCTGGGGTTGGGCCGCCCCGTAGGGAGGGGTCCAATCTGAGGCTCCGAACTTCCATCCGTAAGAATGTGGAGAGGTCCATCAGGGACAACTCGTGCTGAGGTGCGTGGAGGTAGTTTCGTTGACGCCTAAATCTCTCCTGTCTGAACTTGGGAAGTTTGTCGAGGATGCGCTCTACATTGGAGCTGGCGTGGAGTTCATGGTTTCCTTTCTCCTGCTGGGACTGGAGCATGCCTACTAGAGATTGTACTCGTACAGACAGGTCGTCAAGGGTCCGGTCATCTTTGACTGGAGGAAGTTTCTCTATGTCCCTCATCTCTTGGAGGACATAGTCCCATGTTCGCCCGTAGCGGTCATCAAGATCTGCTAATGCATCGGAGTAAGGGGTAGTGGAGTGTGCATGTGCTAATACAATATTATGGGCCCGAGGAACCTTGACATGTTTCAGCAGGAGGGCATATTTATAACGCTCATCTTGGGATGGAGAGAGCAGGGTTCCCAAGCACATGCGTAGCTCTGTATACTGGGACCTGTCCTCTTTAGTGAAATCAGGAAAGGTCGGCTCTTCTACTCCGTAGATGGCTGCTGGTCGAGAGGCGAACTGGACAGGAGAACTAGGATATTGATTAATCAATGGTGAGAACGGCTGACCTTGGTTAGAGGGCCCGTGGTTCTGCAAACTAGGTTGGGGTTGTGAGCTAGCTGCTGGAGGAGGGGTCACTGTGCCGTGTCCATCTAGGGGGGAGGCGGTTGGCTCAACTGTGCAGGTATGCTGTAAATAGGTTTTCGGTCTCCTTGGTAGGCAGAGGAGATATGGGGAGCTGGGAACTTTGCGTGATCTCGCATTTCATCGTCTAGTGCTTGTAGCTTGTTGGATAGCTGTATAGCTACCTCTATGGGTTCTGCCTTAGTGCCATATACAGCTTGGCTCAGACGAGCTGGGGAGTGTTGTCTCGACTCTCTGCGTGAGGACTGCCTGGAAGATCGGGCGGAGGGGCGTGCGGATTGACTCTGATAGGCCTCGGTAAGTAACTGGATAGTCTGTCTAGCAGCTTCATCGTTCTGTTTAGCTAGCGCTACCAGAGCCTGGGTGTGTGCACTCTCTCTCTCAGCTTGTCGGCGTTCCCTCTCAGCTTGCAACTCAGCCTGTTGTCTAGCTAACGCTGCTATGGTTTCAGCTTGCTGCCTGGCTAGCACCACCTGTTGCTCTGCTTGTAAGCGTTCCCTCTCCATCTGCATCTTAGCCTGCAGTTGTTCCCTTTGTATAGCCGCTTCCTCTAGACGGCGTGTAGCCTCCTCTGTTGTCGCCATCTGCAGTTTAAATAGCTCTAATAGTTCTTTGTTGTTAGTTTTCCCTGATGTAGAATAACGCACTGAGTCAGGGCTTCCTGGCGGGGTAGGTGTTCTGGGTCTGAGGAGCTCCTTATCATTCATGTCAAACATGTTCATTGGATCAGCCTTGTATAGCTCATTAGCTCGTAAAGAGGGACTGACACCTATCTTGTGTATATTATCCATGCTACGGTTAATAGGTAGATCGAACATGCGGGGCCTGGTCTGAATAAGGCTTCTAGTACTGCCTCCATGTGACTGTTCAAAGTTGTGGCTAGGGGGCAAATCAACTTCATAAGCATCTAAATATCTGGGACGTTGACGGATACGTCTGGGGCATTCGGGTGGAGTCCTATCTCCTGCTGATAGTCCACTACTAGCCATGGGGGCAATGCTAACTCATCCGGCTCGAAGGACCAAAAATTGTAGCGTAGGACCACAATTTAACTGAGAACTGTAAGGTACAGTAGGGCGCTAGCCACCGCTCCCTGGCGTCCCTTACTATGGACAAAGATGCTGTGGACTCTCACTAAATAACAGGGGAGGGACAAGGATATAAAGGGAACAACATAAACCTTTATTACACCACAAACAAAATTATGCACAATTGACTCACTAAAACTTACACTAAAATATGTCCTGTCTAACTATACTAAGTCCTACTTAATACTAAACCTAATGGTACCAATGTTGCCCGGGGTTGGAGCTCAAAGGAGGACGTGAGGATTCTGATGCAGCCAGGATGGAGGTCTGTGGAGAGGTCCCGATGTTGAGGGATTATGTGCTCAGGTGTCCACGGGAGATGAATGGGAGCTGTTCTCGGGTGAAGAGGGGAGGGGGTGAAGATGTGGTCCAGAGGAGGAGGGGGTGAACTAAAGTCCTTAAACTGGGGCCAGTTAATGCTTGCTGGGATACGAAGGACAATGACGCCGCTAGCGAGACCTAGCTAGCCACTGTCGGGAAAACGAGAGCTAACATTAATCGGCGATCTAACTTCAGTTCAAAGTCTGTTTGTTCCTCTTCAGGTACAATCTTCACAGGATTAAAAACAACTTGTTGTGCGGGTTATTAATCCCACAAAACTTCACCGAAAGAATGAATGAATCTGTTGGATACACAAAGCTGCTCCGATCGTCTCCTCTTCTCAAACTTTCTCCTCTCACTCTCCCAGCTGACACACACACTCGCACCAAATCACACGCGCACTGATACAAACATATCAGCCTAATTACAGCAACACTGAAAGGACGTATATCTCCGCTGTATGAATGACATCGGGCACAACAACAACAATAACAACTGTACATCGCTGCAGTAACAATAATAAACAGGATCTCAAATAACAAACCAGAAGTAAAGAAGAAAGAGGGCTTAACTGGGCAGGGAGCAGTGGGAAGCCTATGTTACTGCTTAGAGGGGTTCTTAAAGTAAAACTATAAAACTAATCTTCTAGCCACTTCTGAGTCTTCAATACATATCGATTGTTAAATTTGAACAATTAACCCAAGAACTAAGTCTGTGCCTCATCAGTGATATACATTTTCTGTTTATTAGGAGAACGAGGTTCTCCGAAAGCAGAACGTTCAGTTGTCAGAAGAAAATGGAAAACTTGTGGGCCATAAGAACCACAAACAGAGGATTGAATATCTGGTAAAGCTGAAAAAGGAAAACACCAAACTTCAAGAGGTAACTAATGCTTCTACTGTCATATCCAGATGTTTTCTGATTTATATGTGATGTCAATAAACTCTGATTTTTTTTTTTTTGTTTTAAAGGAAAATGAAAAGCTCAGGACAGAGATCGCTCTAATCCGGGACAACATGGGATGTTTGGAGATGACGTGAATTCCTGATTTTTTTTTTTTTTTTTTTAATAATCAGATTTTATTCAATTTTTAGAACATAACAACAATACAGCATTGCATACATCAGTAAGGTCTGAGCAAGTGGAAACAGATGAATAAGCAGAACTCAGTAAAAAAAAAAAAAAAAAAAAAAAAGAAAGAAAAGGGAAAAATAAATAAATAAATACATATATACACATACATGTCCCTGCACCTGATATGAAAGATTTCTTACCACCATTCACCTCATTCTGTAACCTTCTAGGCCAGTGTTTCCCCTCTCGATAATTTCACTTAGATCCTTAGGCAGATAATCCATTAGAGGCCGCCATATGTCCATAAAAATGTCATTATTTCCTTTCAATTTGGCACTTAGTCTTTCCATAGGAAGGACTCTGAAAATTTCTTTGTACCACTGGGTTACAGTGGGGGGTTTCTCACTTATCCAATTAAATAATATGCATTTTCTGGCCAGAAGTAAAAGTTTATTGAGTAATTTCGATCTTTTTGCATCCATAACTCTATTCCCTGAAGGTAGACCTAATAGAAACTGGCCTGGATCTTTACATATCCTGTGTTTGAATATTGCTGACACTTCCTTAGATACACAAGACCAGAAAATCGAGATTTTCGAACAGTTCCAAAAGCAGTGCATATAAGTCCCACTTGACGTTTTACATTTCAGGCACAATGGTGATCTATTGGGGTCAATTTTGTTCATAACATGAGGTGTTCTGTGTTGTCTGTGGAGTATCCTATATTGCATTTCTTTAAATTTACTGTTGAGGAACAGCGAATGAGTGGTCCGAATACATCCCTCCCACGCATCTTCATCATATACCCTTTGAAGGTCCTCCTCCCATCGCTTAACCAGCCCCTCAACACTATGTTGGTTACAACTCTGAAGGCTATTATAAAAGTATGTGATAAGACCTTTCTTCACTGTAAAATTAATTATGAACTTGTCAATTGGTCCCTTCAGTGTTTCTGTTTGAGATACTTTAAGATTCGTATTGATGAAGTGACGGGCTTGAAGATATGCAAAAAAATCTTTTGGTGGAAGACCAAATCTATTTTGTGCTTGTGAAAAGGACATGAGGACATTGTTATCGAATTCCTGATTTTAAATCAGAAACTCTCACAAAGTCTATACTGGAGGGAAACTATACTTTTTACATTGATCTGTAATACCGACAGAACCGACAAGCCAGGTGTAAAAAAATTTAATTGATCCAACTCTATTCTGTGTTTTTTTATGTTCTCAGATGATAGTAGGTTACAAACATGCTGTAAAAACTTTATTGTATTTCTTTTTTTTTTCTTACCACTAGGGGGAAAAGTTGTTACTGGAATCTGGAAAGTACAATGACAGTCACGTGTGAATAAAGCATTTAAAAAAGGTTTTATTCTTTTTTTACTGTGTGGATACTTGATCCAAAACCTCTGATTTTGTAGCAACACTTGTGTTGAGTTAAACAAGGATAAATAACGAAATTTTTAGGACTAAAAATTAAAAAAAAAAAAAAAGGATGCTGTCCTCTACTTTCTCCATCGAACACACTCCTACCTCGATGAGGGAGGCTGCGCTGTGAGGATTCTTTTTTTCGACTTCTCAAGCGCATTTAACACCATTCAGCCCCCACGACTGCAGGAAAAACTGTCTACCATGCAGGTGGACCCCCTCCTCATCTCCTGGATATCTGACTACCTGACCGACAGACCACAATTTGTTAGGATCGGTAGCAGTATCTCCAGCACCATCACCAGCAGCACTGGAGCTCCGCAGGGGACCGTGCTGTCCCCCATCCTCTTCTCCCTGTACACTGCTGATTTCCAACACAACTCGGAACTCTGCCACATGCAGAAGTTCTCGGATGACACAGCAGTTGTAGCGTGTATTAGGGAGAACGAGGAGGGGGAATACAGGGAACTAGTGAGCGACTTTGTGGGGTGGTGCCAGGAGAACCAGCTGCTCCTGAACACCTCCAAAACAAAGGAGATTGTGCTGGACTTCAGGCGCCAGCCCCCGCCCCACTCCCTGTTTGCATCGAGGGCGAGGAGGTCGAGATAGTGCCCTGTTACAAATACCTCGGACTCATACTAGACAATAAACTGGACTGGACTCAGAACATTGACCACCTCTACAAGAAGGGCCAGAGCAGGCTCTACTTCTTGCGGAGGCTGGCATCATTCAACATCTGCACCAAGCTCCTACAGATGTTTTACAACTCTGTAGTGGCTAGTGTGCTGTTCTATGCTGTGTCTTGCTGGGGTGGCAGTGGCAGCAAAAGAAACATCCAGAGGCTGAACAAGCTCATCAAGAAGGCAGGCTCAGTGGTGGGCCTGAAGCTGGACTCTGTTGAGGAGGTGACAGAGCAGAGGTCACTCACCAGACTCAAGGCAATTATGAACAATGCCAGCCATCCACTGAGCTATGCCTTCAACCAGCAGAGGAGCACCATCAGCAGGAGACTACGATCACTGAACTCCTCAACAACAAGACACACAAAGTCGTTTGTCCCCCGCGCCATCAGGCTGCACAACTCCCTGAGCGGGAGGAAGAGACGGGAGGAGGAGTAGGAGTAGCTGGAGTCAAGCGGGTGTGGGGGGAATATCTCAAAGGCAGAAGTGCTGGAACACTTCTGTCCTCATTGTCGCTGTTTCTGTTGTGGTGTGTTGTTTTACCTGTCCCTGCCTTTGTCCCCAAGTTGGTTCTCCCTCCTGCCATTAGTTTTTCTTTATTTCTTTATTTATTTTTAGATATTTATTCATAATCTGTTTTTATCATATCATATGTGTGTGTGACTGATTCTTGTGAGCAGTTGACCACTCTTGAATTTCCTTCGGGATTAATAAAGTACATCTATCTATCTATCTATCTATCTATTTAAAAAAGGTTTTATTCTTTTTTTACTGTGTGGATACTTGATCCAAAACCTCTGATTTTGTAGCAACACTTGTGTTGAGTTAAACAAGGATAAATAACGAAATTTTTAGGACTAAAAATTAAAAAAAATTATCTTTGTGCGTTGCTCTAAAGTTTTATGGTCATAAAAAATGCTTGAATTTTCCTCCAAAGGGTGCATGTTTAAATAAGAGATATAAATCTTACGTTTTACTGTTCAAACCCTTTTTCTAAATAGATTTTTTCTTTTAAGTTAGTCTAATGTTACAGTGGCCGAGAACCGCCACTGCTGCAAATAAAAAAGAATGGGGGGGAAAAAAAAAAAAAGAAGCCACAACAGAAGTTACCGATGAAAAAAAAAAAAAAAAAAAAGAGACTGAAACCTGCTGCAAATAAAAAAAGAAATGGTGCAGATTAAAAAAAAGAGCCACAACGGAAGTTAATGACGCAAAAAAAAAGTGGCTATGTAAAAAAGAAAAAAAATACTGCAAAAATAAAAGGATGCAAATAAAAAAGCCACAATAGAGGTGATCTAGCCACAGAAGACGAGCAAAGAAGTTAGTGGCTTTGTGTGCTTTTCAATGTGTCATCTGGTTCGGCCATGTTGCGCCAGAGTGGATATGAAGTTGAACTGGAAGATGCTGGTGTAGTGTTAGCTTTGGGGAATCGGGAATCGAGTTCGGTAGCTTTGTGGTTCAGTTGCTTTACTCATAGAAATCAGTACACAGTACAGTATGGTCGTGGAGGAGATGGTCGTGGAGGACGGACTTCCTGTGTGTGACGCCGGTTGGTGAGCAGACGCCGGTTTTGACAGCTCTCGAAAACTTTGCCCAAAATCTCACAAAAACTGTGCTACAATCATTGGATTCAGTTGTTTTATTTATTTATTTTTTACTCTATCTTTTAACCGGCCAAGAATTTTAAATCGGATTTTAAGCTGCTTTTAAATGAACTGATTCGCCGGTTTTTATGTAGCCGGCGGTTAAAGCTGCTAACCTCTGCTCACTGAACCTTAAACCATGGAAACACTCACCTCCTCACACGAGTGCAACAGCTGCCTCAAAAAATCCAAAACTATCGCTGAGCTGGAACGACGTATTTCCAGCCTCCACTGGATCCGCAACGAGGAGTCACTCCTGGACTCGATGTTGACGCTGGGTGCGGGCCTCCCTGTGAACCCAGCCGAGCTGGACTCCACCATCCCGGCAGCCGCTGCTCCGCAGGCTCCACCGGCCCCAGCGAGCGCTGCTGCTGCCTCTGGCTCCCCACCTTCCACCGCGGAGGCTCCTGCTGAGCCGGCTCATCCTCAACCCGGGGAACCTTGGCTGACTCAGGGGGCAAGGCCAAAGCGAGTGCCGGCTCCCGCACTGGACTTCACTCCTCACCCGAGGTTCAACATTCGGAGTTCCACCCCACGGTCAACAGCGGCTGCAAAGAGGAGGACCAGCCTGAAACCACTGAAATCCCACTTCGATCTCCAGCTGTCCTCGAGGTACGATGTACTCAGTGTTGCGGATTTTCCTCCGCTGCCAGGAAGGCCGGATCCGGGCCCAGCTGATGTCGGACGAAGCGCAGCCTCACCTCCGTCTTCTGCTGGGAACGAGGAGGTGAACGGAGGTATGCACACGGGGCCTCGGCGCCCCCTCCTCCCCCCGTCATGCATACTCCCCGACCCGGTGCAAACCGTTCAGGGAACCTCTGCGAAGGCACTCCGCTGGGAACAGAGGTTCTCCGGCCCCAACTTGCGCACCACCGCCACCGCCGCGTCCTCGCCCACTGTTCCCGCCGACCACGGCAATCATCGGAGACTCCATCGTGAGGCACGTCCGTTTTTTTAACGCAGTAACCCACTGCTTCCCAGGCGCCACTGTCCCAACTCTCCTCCATAAACTCCCGGAGCTGCTGGGCTCACTCCCATCCTCCATCACGAGGCTGGTTTTACACCTGGGTTTTAACGACACTTCCTCCCGTCAGTCTGAAGTGACCAAGGACTATTTTAAGAAACTTTTTAAGGTTCTCACCGACTGCGGTAAGTCTGTTTTTATCTCGGGGCCCCTCCCCTCCTTCGACCGTGGCATGGGGCGCTTCAGCAGACT